CGCCTCGCCGCCTCAGCGCGCTTCGGTCAGCGGGGGATCCAGGAGGCCCAAGCCACAGAGCCTTCCACGTGTAAGCGTGTGTGAACGCTCCCGGGCAGGCCTAGGAGCCGAGGCTGGCCGTCGGAGAGAAGGGGTTTCTTTGTGGGTGGGAAGCGACTGAAAGGCACAGTCCAGAGAGAAGGAAATCAGAAGAGCAGGCGTGGGAAGAATCTTTTCTCCTCCCTTTCACGGGCAGCAGTGTGCGTCTGAGTCACACCCAGGCCTGCATTTGCACAGGTGGTTTCCCTGACACCTGGGCTTCCTGAGATCGATCCCCGTTCGGAGTCAGGACTGACCCCTCCCTGTGCATCAGGCTCAAAAATCTCCCGTGGGAACAATTAAGGGAAAGTCTTTTTCAAAATGTCATGCTGTGTGGTGCTGAGAATATGTAAACCCATGTTGCAAATGACATGTACTTCAGGGAAAAAAAAGTTTTCAGGCCTCCCACTGACAAGTGGATCATGCCATCTCAGCATTTAAGGAGAATCTGGAAGCTTCCAGCCAAACCCTTCCCCCAAGCACAGAGATGAGGAGTGCCCTGTACAGACCAGGACCCAGCTTCTCTGGGAGCCCCTGTCGTTCCTGTCTGTATTGTAGATCACCCGCTTTTCTCTGCCATTTTTCCTCCTAAATCTAACTGATTTCCTTAAAATCCAATTTACCTGGAATGAGCAATTTAATCAGACAGTGGGAACCTTGTGTCGCCAGTCAGGCTACTCAGAGGCTTTGAAATAATCGGGGAGAAGAACGCTCTGAGAGAAGGGTGGACAATCCCCGAGCCGCGAGAGGCCAACTGCACTACACAGGAGAAAACAATGGTAGGGAATAAGACCCTGCTGTCATAAAGCCCTAGCGGGGCCCCCTGCCATCTTTACAGAGACCTGCCGTGCACGTTTGAAGACCTGACTTTCAGAAGCGCTGTCTTCAGCCAGAGCTCAGGGGATGGACAGGCACCGACTGGCTTTCAGACCCGGCAGAACTCAGGCTGTGTGACATCAGCCCTCGGGACACCAGCGCTCAACCACAGAGTTCTCAATTCTGTTCCATGTTCGGAACGTTAGCCTCCCAGGAAATACAGTGTCTAGATGGTATCTTGAATAATTTTGTTCTAAATCTTGTACCTGTGCAGGTTTTTGTTTCCCCAAGAGAGAATGTTTAGGATTATCTTCTAATCAAAACAGAGTTTGAGGGGCACCTGGGTGGTTCAGTCGGTGAAGCGTCCGCCTTTGGCTCAGGTCATGATCCCAGGGTCCTCGGATCGAGCCCCGGGTCTGGCTCCCCGCTCCGTGGGAAGTCTGCCCCTCCCTCTCCTTCTGCCCCTCTCCCCTGCTCCTGCACGCTCTCTTCTTCTCTCAAATAAATAAAATCTTTAAAAAAAAAACCACACACACAGTTTGAGATTTCGATTTAAACCCAATCATGTGGGAAGGTGAACACTGCCCTTACACCTGACAGTTGCACTTGGCTTTGCCCACAAGGTGCGATAATTCTTTGTAGCCATGTATTGGGGTGTATGTGTTCACTGACGTGGATACATGAAGTATGTTGACAAATACAGCTCACACACACACACACACGCACTGATGCATGACTGACATGTGTCATAGTCATATATGTGCTTATACGTATTATACATGTAAATGACACACATACACAACAGGACACAGGGCACAGTGGGAAGAAACCAGAGTGGGGCACTGGTGGTGGCCAGGCGTCTCTGGCCACCCGGTGCAGACAGCCTGCCAGGCCAGCTCTGTGGCATGAGGGGATGAGCTTCCTGGGCCCCTCACGGGAATCCAGGGACAAGGGCAGAGCAGAGCAGGCCCGGCGGGCACGGGCGGGGGACTGGCAGCCCCCCGGCGCTGGGGCAGCCCCCCTCTGGCTCTATGTAAATGTCGTGTGCCCCAGTCACACGGGAAGCACGAGGTACCCGCATGCCACTGGGAGTCACTTTGTCGCGCTTTTCATCTTCTTTGTTCCGTTTTACAGAAAGTATTCAGGATGTACCTAACAATCGAAAGCTAATTTAAATTGTAATGAAAGAGGCTGGAATTGAAAACGTAAACTCTGCCTGGGTCCGCGTTACACTATCAGAGGGCTATTGCTCAGTTTTAAGGCGTGATAATGGTGGTATGCTTTGCTTTTTTTCCCCCCAAGAGTCTATCTTGCACAGACCCATACGAACATATTTATGCACAGGATTATATAGGATGCCTGGGGCTTGCTTCTGAATATAGAAAGCGCGCAGGGGGTGTGAGGGTAACGATGGGAAATTCCACGCCCTGAGCCACACCTATCTCCTGAGGCTGGCCCGGGTGCCCTCCCCGGCCGCAGGACTGACCTCGGACTGCTCGGAGCCAGTGCTGCTGGTTCGGGGGGCTAGGAGAGCACGTCCATAGGAGACAGGGGAGCAGCGGGGGTCTGTGGACACAGCTGAGGGTGAGCGGCCCTTTGTAATCAGAAGGGCCCTGCCGGGGAAGGTCATCTAAAAGACATGAATGCCGACTGACCCATGAGCTGGACCTGGGCACGCCGATGCTCCTCACCCCCTCCCAGTCCTTGGAATGTGGGTTCTGTTCTGCTTGCCTTTCCTGCTCCGAGAAGCTGTTCCAAGGACACAGCCTTGAAAGGTGATGTGGTGTTGAAAACACCTGCAGAATTTATGGGACTGAGCCCAGGTAGGGCCTCTTGATAAACTTTCAAGATCTGGCAGGCGGGTGCAGGCACCCATTACACCTGGACAGCCCTGGGAGGGTTTCGAACCAACAGGCCCCCACTCCATAGTCATGCCCCCCACCCCCCGCTCGCTCTTGCGTCCCCACCTGGTACGTGGCCGGCCCCAAATACCTCTGAGCTGACAGGAACTGAGTGGGGCTGTGCAGGTAGCTTGACAGGTATCCAAGCTCCCTGTGAGCACAATACCCTGATGCCACTGGGGCTGGCCCTGTCACTGCAGCATGGGTGTGAGGCCAAACACCTGCTCCAGGGACCTCACTAGGAACAGATCCTCCTGGGTCACAGTCTAGTACTGTGCCCTGTCCAGAAACCCCAATATCCTGGAGCCCCATGAGGGGTCTCAGGCTACAGGGCCATCAGACCAACCCGGCACAGAAGGGCTGCTGGGGCACCCCGGAGGGACTGCCAGGCCAGAGGATGCAGTCTACACCTGTCTCTGGGATGCCCCCCTTTTTATCTATCTTCCATAGAGCAGCTGGGAGGATTCTTTTAAGTTTATGTATTTAGTTAAGTAATCTCTACACCCAACGTGGGATTTGAACTTACAACCCCAAGATCAAGGATCACCTGCTCCTCTGAGCCAGCCAGGCGCCCCAGGTTGATTCTTTAAATAATGAATCAATAAAGTCACTCTCCTGCTCAAAATATCACCACTAAACTTAGGGTGGAGTCCAAATTATCTGACCTCCAGGTCCTTCATCATCTTCCCATCCACGCTCTTTTCCATCCTCACCTCCCTCCTCCCGCCCCCTCACTGACATCTACCACACTGCCCTCTGTTATTCTGCAGGTGCTGGGTCCTGCCCCAGGGCCTTTGCACTTGTCCTTTCCTTTGCCCACACCACCCATGAATCCCCAATCACATGTGACACTGTCCCTCTTACTTTTCTTTCATTGCTTTTCATCTTTGCCAGAGGTCTTTCCTGGCCACCTTAATATTGACTCCCCACCTCCAAGGCACTCACTTTCCTGATCTACATTCTTAGTCCCTGTCGCTATTTGAATTTTTCATTCATTGTCTTGTTTATTGTCCGTCTCCTCCACTTAGAATGTAAGTTCCACGAGGGCAAAGAATGAGTCCATCATGTTCATTTCCGTATTCCCTGTCCCTAGAACAGTAAGGAGTATTTGATGGATGAATGAGTAGCTAAAGGACACCCCCACACCGGCACCCCTGCTGTGATCAGACCTGTGACGTTGGCACTCCAGGCGCTCACCTGCAGCCCTAGTGCCTGAAGGGCCTTACTCCCTTCCCTCAGGCTCCCTGGACGTGACCAGTTACAAATTCCAGGCAGCTGAGCTTATTTTTTCTCCCCCTGTCCCTCCTCCAGTAGACTCCTTCATGAGGGGGAACGGAGAGGGGCAGTTCTAGAACTTGAGGTGATTCTACTTCATCCTCATGTACAAATCCCTGGCCCACAGACTCGAACACCACACAGCCATTAACTAGGAGGGTAAATACCTACATTCACGAACACACAAAGGCATCCATGACCTTCCACTGGTTTGTGGCAATAGCGTAGAGAATATAACTTATATAAAATCATCCACACACAAATCCTTCCCTGCGCACGTACACAATACATGGATCCGCAAGAATGTTCACCAAAATGTTACCATCTGAATCACCGGATTTCCGCCGAAATTTACATCTTCCTATACTGATTATTGCCTTTATTTAAAACCGCAACAACAGGTGCCTCGTTAGCGCCGTAGGTAGCGCGTCAGTCTCCTAAAACAACAACAACAAGAGATCAGAGACACAAATCATCCCCAACCCTGGCTGACCAAGAAAGACGACGGACGCAAACCGAGCAAACGGAGGCTCAGGCGGTGAGGCCGCAGGGGCGGCGGGCCCCAGCAGGCCGAGGGCGAGGCTCGGCGCCCCCGCCACCAGGCCCAGCCGCAGCTCCCTCGGCGGCAGCCTGCCCACGAGCCGCCACCAGAGATGCAACGCGCAGGTGGCCGCCCGGTCGGGATGTAATCACCCGCGGGGGCCGCAAACATTCTCGCCCCAGCAAGAAGCGTGCTCCTGGGGCCTTCAAAGGGCTGCGCGTCCAGGCCCCGCCGGGCCTCCCGGTGGGCACACTTCGGGCCTGGGTGAGAGGCCCTGGAACCGCGCGCCGCCCCGGGGCTGCGTGTATAAAAGCGTGCGGGGGCCTGCGCCTCGGGAGGGAGACGGGACGGACGGTGGCGAGGCGGGGGCGCGGGGCTCAGCCGGGGCCATGCTGGCCGCCTCCGTCGTCCGTCGGGCCCTGCTGCTCTGCTGGCTCGCTGCCCCGCGGCCCGCCGGGCCCGAGCCCCTTTCCCACAGCCGGGACCGCTCGGACGCGGAGCCCGCCCCGCTGCGCCGGGCCCAGCCCATCGCGGACCCCGTCGCCGCGCAGGTAGGCGCCCCCGCGGCACCGCCACGCACGAGCGCGCGCGCGCGCACGCAAGACGCGTGCACGCGCAGGCGCGGGGCCGTGCACACCGTCGGGGGCACGTGCGCTCGCGGACACGCGCGCACGCAGGCACGTGCGAGGCGGCCACACCGCCTGAGGTGAGGGGCCTCCCCCGGACAACGATAACCACCCGCTAGAAATGAGGGAGGGCCTACGGGCCTGGCGCGTCCAGTCTCCCGCGGGAACCTAGTACGTGACGCAAACACACGCTCAGCGCGCCACCCCCGCCCCGCGGGTCGGGCCCTCTCTCTTCCGCAGCGATTCCTGTCCAAGTACGGCTGGGCCGACGCGCGGCGCGCGGGCCCCCGGGCCACCGCCCTGGCCGAGGCCGTGCGCAGGTTCCAGAGGGTCAACGCGCTGCCGGCGAGCGGGCGGCTGGACGCGGCCACGCTGGCGGCCATGAACAGGCCGCGCTGCGGCGTCCCCGACACGCGGCCCCTGCCGCGCCCGGCCCCCGGGCCCCCGCCGCGCCCGCCGCCCCGCGCCCGGCCCAAGCGCTTCCTGCGGGCGCCGCCGCCGCCCGGGGACCCGCAGCCCGAGGTCGCCGCGCCCCGCGGGGGGACCCGGGCCTTCGCCAAGAGGACGCTCACCTGGCGGCTGCTGGGGGAGGGCGCCAGCGGGCAGCTGGCCGTGGGCGAGCAGAGGCACATCCTCAGGCTGGCCTTCCGGATGTGGAGCGAGGTGATGCCGCTGGACTTCCGGGAGGACCTCGCCGCCCCCGGCGCCGCCGTGGACATAAAGCTGGGTTTCGGACGAGGTGAGGAGGGCGAAGACTGCAGGCGGGCTGAGCCCCACTGCCCTCCCGCACGGCCGGCGGCGGGCCCGGTTCACTGGGAGCCCCGGGGCCAACAGGCCGACGGGGGGAACCCCGCCCCGGTCACCTGCAAAGCCTCCGGGGTGTCCGAGGTGGCACCTGCCAGGGGCATGGGCGGATGGCAAACCCTCTGTAGGTGCTGCTTTATTGCCACTCACTGGGAAGGGCACGGCAGGTCTCCCTGCGCCCACCGGGGAGCGGTCACATGGGGACATCCGTGCGGGCCCTCCGCTTGTCTCTGAGCAGATCAGCCCAGTGAGCCCTGCTGCAGGGACCCCGTCGAGCCCAGCAGGGCGCGAGCCAGGCCTGGCTCACCCTTCCCGCCACTCCTGGGGAGAACTAGCGCGTGGTGGTTTGCTGGCCCCACCAGCAGGCCCCACCACCTCCTAGCTGGGTGGGTTTGGAGAGGGTAACTTCTCTGCACCCCGTCTGGGAGCTAGGGATGCTCACGCCTGCCCTGCTGGTCTGACTGGATTGACTGTCCTGCTGTGAGCCCTACACAGGAGGCTTGTTGAAAACCGTACACAGGGCAGGGACCATCGCGCAGCACCTCCTTCATGTCCTGACCACTCAGCTGTTAGGATCCAGCTCAGATCTTGTCTCCTCCCTCAGCCTTTGGATGGCACCCCCCGCCCCTTCCTCTGGGCTCCCACAGGTTTGCTAGGCAGCTATCTCCAAGTGTTTAGACTCGACACCACACTGTTGCACAAGCCAGGAGTGGTTGCTTCTGCTCCTGGACTGTGAGCCCCCGGAGGCCGCGAACCCTCGGGTGTCCGTGTTCCCTCTCCCCTTGCCAGGCCGGCACCTGGGCTGTCCTCGGGTTTTTGATGGCAGCGGGCAGGAGTTTGCACATGCCTGGCGCCTGGGCGACATCCACTTTGACGATGATGAACACTTCACACCTCCCACCAGTGACGCGGGCATCAGCCTTCTCAAAGTAAGTGGTCTGCAGCTGTGCGGAGGGACCAGGCAAAGGGCACGCAGCATGGGCTGGAGCGCAGAACGCCAGGGCTTCTCGGGGGCAGTGTCCACAGCCTTCTGAGAAAGCTCCCCGAGTCTCCCCATCGCTCCCCTTCTCCTTAACAAGTGCCGTTCCTCCTAAAGCACAGGCCTGCCCCTGGAGTGGGGGGCGGGGGCGGGGGGGTCCACGTGACTCCCAGACACCCAGGGTTGGCACCGCACGCGTGGTTTGTGTTCCCTTCTAGGTGGCCGTCCATGAAATTGGCCACGTACTCGGCTTGCCTCACACCTACAGGACAGGATCCATAATGCAACCGAATTACATCCCCCAGGAGCCTGTGTTTGAGTTGGACTGGTCAGACAGAAAAGCAGTTCAAAAGCTGTATGGTAAGACTGTTCTGGAAGATCGTGAGCTCTTCCTTCAAGGTGGCCGTGCCCCAAGGGTAGCCACCGGTGCAGAGCAAAGCACTCCCGTGGATGTTCCCTCTTCCCTGCGCTACGTTATGTCCCTGGGAGGACGGAGGGTAACAGGGTGGTTTCCTAGAGCGCAGTGGGCCACCCAGGCGGTGGCCTCCCGTGGGCGCCGCAGGCACTTGGAAGCCCCTGGGAGAAGTTCCCTGCCGTCCCAAGGCAAAGAACAGCGGGAGCCTTGCCAGGATCAACTTTAATCTCTCTTCAGTTGTTCAGGCCAAAGTGTTAACGGTTCATTATTTAATGGAAGTGATTAATGACCTAGTGTTGAGGCTGAGGGGAAAGAAAGCTACTCTCCCCTTTTCCATTTAAAACGGAGAGCACCACCATTTCTGTTCCACTCCAGCCATTCTATGCGAAGATGCTCTCAGCACGTTTGGAGAGTGACAAATGCCAGGATGGATTTCTTTCCTGCAGAGGAAATCTTACTCTTGTGTGTGCCCAGAACCAAACTGCTTGCCTCTCATGAAGTCAGACGAGCCATCAAGAGGCATTAGTTATATTTAGGGTGATCACATACCCAGCATCCCAAATCGAGACACCTCAAGAGAGTAATCTTCTGCACAAAGATTAGCCAGAACGGCCCACGTGAGCCGGCACTGCTGCAGGTCCCCGGGGCCCCTCCAACTCCTCCTGCTCGGCTGGGTAGGCCTACTTCAGTCTTGGGGGGCATCTTGCTTTGAGACAGCTTGACAGAACACTCCAGCTTCGCAGTTGTCTCTGTTCGAGTCACATGTGAAAATAGCGACTGCTGGTTTTTGCACCAGGTGACCAGGGGCTGGACTTTGTTTTTCTTTCTCAGGTTCATGTGAAGGATCATTTGATACTGCATTTGACTGGATTCGCAAAGAGCGAAACCAACATGGAGCCGTGATGATGCGATTTAGCACCTACTTTTTCCGCAAGAGCTGGTACTGGCTTTACGAAAATCGAAATAACCGGACGCGCTACGGGGATCCTATCCAAATCCTCCGTGGCTGGCACGGAATCCCAACACAAAACATCGACGCTTTTGTCCACCTCTGGACATGGAGAAGAGACGAACGTTATTTTTTTAAAGGTAGAGCTTCTTCGGGACGGTTCTATATCTTTTATTACAGAGATGCATTCAGAACAAATGTTTTGAGCTCCATACCGAAGAATCTTAGTATAATGCTCTTGCAATCACTCACCTAATTTCTGTCTGTTCTGTCAGACTGTGAGCTCTGTGAGCACAGGGACTGTGTTGCATCCCCTGATCTCTGTAAGAAGGCACTGAATTCGTCAAAGGAACAAATGAATGAGTGAATGAATGAGTAGACCAACTATGCCAGGCCCTGAGGTGGTTGCGTAAGAAAGGGCCCTCCTTAGAGAAGTTTTAACTAGTTCTGGAGAGAAAAGACCTTAGAAGCTGACCACTAGAATTATGTGGTGAAGGGAAGGAAGAGCGGACAAGGTGACCACTACCCCTGGAACCAGATGCTGGAGCCACCCAGAACTCAGGGCTTGCCCCAGCCTCAGAGGATGCGTAGGACCCCGGGTGCCCCGAAAGGGACACCGGGAATAGCGTGGTGGGGGAGGTGCGCATGGGGGTGAGGGGGCGGTGAGACACAGGAGGCAGAAGCAAAGCTTTAGGGTGAGCGAGGGTGAAAACGCAGATGGGAGAGACAGCTGAGCCCATGGAGGTGTGACAGGGCACTCACACGGGGCGAGATTAGGTTAGAAAGACAGGGTCACCCTGAGCACCGAGAGCCTCTGTGCTCAGAGGCTGGAGGTCATCCAGCAGGCAGGCAGGAATCGGTGGTTTCCAAGCAGGGAGGATCAGTGTTTTGCTGGAAGGCAGAAACTGAGGTGGGGGGCCCCGGTGGTGGGAGGGACACGCAGAGCAGGCCGGCCAAGACTCTCTTGCTGCTGCTTTACTCACAGACCACCTGGCCCAGAACCTCTGTGCCCGTCACGGAGGCTGGCTGCCTTGGCAAACCAAATGCGTGGAGCCTAACCACAAACAAGGTTCTGGGTGGCTGCTTTTTCTTTCCCTTCCCCAGACTTTCGCCCGAGAGGTAAGGGGTGCGCCCTGTCTCTGCCCAGCTCCCTAGTAATACGACCCTATTGTCTGAAACCGCTCAGGACTCAGTGAGGCAAGAGCCCAACCAAAAAGATGCTGCATGCAGATTTGGCCGTAGGAAACCTGCGTATGAATTTGGTCTTAATTTTCCTTACATCACACAAAGGAAGAATTATTTTGGTTCAGTTACATAAAGAAATTGCCCAGGGTGGACCTGTCTGGTTTAGATCTTTCAGAGTTGGAAGCACAACATTCAGTGCTTTAGAAGCCCTGGCCTAGAATTTATACTGGCAACAAAGACTCTTAATTATAGAATTAGGTCATCGTGGGGGATTGCTATCATATGGCTGTATTTTATTCTTGGAGCTTTAAAAACATCTTAAAGTTAACTTGCTGTGTGAATACTTTGAATTCAAAAAGTATTCCAGTTAGAGTGAATTGCACCCCCTGGCTGGACACACGTCATTCACTCTTCTTTCTCGATGGCAAACCTTTGCAGGGGGAGGCGGCGAGGGGCGGGGAGGGAATGAGGGAGAGGGAGCTCACATGGTTGGTGGCTAAGGAGTGTAACTGGTTGTGGCGTGGTGTAAGTTGTGAACACAAAAATATCTAACCCCGTGGATTTGTTCTATTTTCTGCTGACAATATGCCAAATAGTCAGGATTAGGAACTATTAAGGAGAATTTAGAATAATCCTGTGGTGTTGCAGAGCATGACATTAGGAAGAGGGCAGTGGGTGGAATCACGTGAGTGGAACATGGGAAGAGGGGCCTGCACCGGGTCCACCTGGGCTGTGATCTGGACGGACCACTTCAGCTCTTTTCTAAAATGATGTAATTCTAAAATCCTGAAAAAAAGTAAAACCCCATCATAAGCCTCAGGATTGTTTTCTGTAAAAAGAGGGCTTAGGTTGATTATGGTAGGAAAATGACTCAGGACAACCCATGGGTCTCTAACATGTAAAAGGCAGATCATGAGACTATATAGGAAGAAACAGAAGAAGAATCTTCTGTGAAAAAGACCACATGATTTTTGTCCTTTCGTTTTTGCTTTTTGCTTTTGATGAGTGCCAGTGGGCTGGAGTGCCCGACAGAAGACAACTAACATTTTCTTTTTTTTTTTTTAAAGATTTTATTTTTTTGAGAGAGAGAGCACGAGAGAGGGGAGGGTCCGAGGGAGAAGCAGACTCCCTGCTGAGCAGAGAGTCCAACTCGGGGCTCAACCCCAGGGTCCCGGGACTCCGGGATCATGACCTGAGCTGAAGGCAGATGATTAGCTGAGCCACCCAGGCGCCCCTGACAACCAACATTTCAATAGCAGCAGTGATTGCCAGGATCTATCTAGAAGTAATTCAAGACCTGGGGAATCATTCATCTGAATGGAGGCTTTGCTTAGAGGCTGAGGTCCTGCCTTGTCCTGGGATCACAGGAGAACATCGTGGTTGGCTGAGATCTATGTTGAAAGCAGTCCCTCTTCATGGTTTGCTATAATTAAATGGTAATAAACCATATTAGCATTTTTTGTTTGGCCCTCAGGAAATCAGTACTGGAGATATGACAGTGACAAGGATCAGGCCTACACAGAAGATGAACAAGGAAGAAGCTACCCCAAATTGATTTCAGAAGGATTTCCTGGCATCCCAAGTCCCCTGGACACTGCCTTTTATGACCGAAGAAAGCAGTTAATTTACTTCTTCAAAGAGTCCCTCGTAAGTAGGATGCTTTCCAGCCTGGTGTTGCTTCTTCACCCCTATGTGAAATTCAAGGTCTTAGTTAAAAGTTGTTCTTAGTTGCCTCAGACCTCGGTGGCCATGGCAGATCCCATCATATGGAAAATGAAGAACTTCAAGCCCAGAGAATTTGGTGCAAAGCCACAGATTTACTTACCTCATTCCTATAAATTAACCTAAAAATCAATGATTTTCAGAAAAGCCAGCCTTAACTCTCTTCCTTGCTTTGCAGGTGTTTGCATTTGATGTCAACAGAAATCGAGTACTTGATTCTTATCCGATGAAGATCACTGAAGTGTTTCCGGGAATAGAGCCAGAGAACCATCCCTTCAGGAATATAGACTCAGCCTATTACTCCTACGCACACAACGCCATTTTCTTTTTCAAAGGCAATGCATATTGGAAAGTAGTTAGCGACAGGGACAGACAACAGCATTTTTGGCTTCCTTCAAATGGCTTATTTCCGAAGCAGTCGATTTCAGAGCGGTGGTTTGACATTTGTGACGTCCATACCTCCACCCTGAACATGTAATGAGAAAAACGGGCAAACGGGAGTCAAAGGATTTCTAAGAGAAAGTCTGATTTCTTTTACAAAGAAAACAAACCAGATTTTTAGTAACCAAATAAGGCTAAAACCCGGTGGGAAAAGCATTACTTGAACTTTTAAAATAATTGATTTGAAAGTGAATTTCTCAGGCAAAAAAAAAAATCCACTGAATAATTTTGCCAATCTTTTAGAAAAGGTTAAAAAAAAGAATCCTGAGGAATCCCTGTCTTTCCACCCCCGCCCCCTAATTTCATGGATGGACGGAAGCGTAGCTATAGCCATAGGATCCAGTCATGTAAGGAAATGCAGCTCCCTGGGGGCATTCAGTGGAAAAGGTCACAGATTTCAAATTGACTACATTCCACAATTCCTGTCATAATTTATATTTTTCTAATACATGACTGTGTACAGAAGGTTTTCCCATGTATTTCTCGATCTTCACAAGTCTGGCAGAGTGCCAGGGGACCTACTCCTGTGCACATTTCTAGTCGAGGAAGCTGAAGTTCACACTTGCGTCCTTCCCAGAGTCAGATGCCGTGGTTGCTGGCGACCCTCGCCTCCTCGCTCCAGCCCAGTGCCCAGGCAACCTGCTCTCCATCCCTGCCCTGAAGTTAACTGCAAAACAAGTCATCTCGGTGATCAGGCCACAGATGGCACAATTCTTCTCAAGTAAAAGCTAAGACACGAGCACTTTAAGCAGCACGAACTTAAAAGTCAGACTACAAAAACATTGAAAAAGACCTCTCTCCCCCTGTAGGGATGTTCATATTCTTGCTCAGACAAGGGAAGACAGCTAGAATTGGTATCTTCTTGCTTAAAAACAAATACTCCTCTGGACGAAAAGGCTGTTCAGCCAAGGAGAGGCCAGAGAACAAGACCGGGACTGCGACATCCCTGACGCCAGCTTACTTCAGCGTCAGATCTTCCCCACGGAAGCGTGCAGGTTTAACTAGCGGAGACAGCGCTTGCCGATGGGGGAGCAGAGTGAACGCTGTCCTGACAGGAGACTGAGTCTGTGCACCGGCTTCATGACTTAGTCAAAACTTTAAATGCTTCAATGATTTTTGAAAATGGATGCAAATCTGTCCCAAGGAAGTGGACAAACGGCCAGCGGCCAGGAGGAGCTCCGCCGAGCTATGACAGGTGTCAACACACCGCCAAGGAAAACACCCCAAAGTCTTGGTGCATGAGAAAGCACTCCGTAAAAACTCCGCTTAAAACAAGCTTATTCCAGACAACTTTCCCTATAGTTCAGATTCCTCCAGAGAGGTGTGGCTGCTGAATGGAGGGGTTCTGCAGGATCTGCAGGGAAAGGGGTCTGCTGATGGCATGAAGGAGGTCGGAGTGGCCCTCGGGGCCAGGCTAGCGGACTTGGAGGCAGGGCAGGCTGTCTACAAAGGCCTCATGCACCTAAGTCCCATCCACCCACCTGACAGGAAAGCGTATGCTTGATTTCTGTTCCATTTCCTCGAAACGGATTTTAGTAGGACAGGACAAGCACAGCGTTGCACGATGTATGTAGGCATGGAAAAAAACAGAGGCCATGTGTACGCAACTAGACAGGAGCCATGCAGGAAAAGGGGCGAAAAATGAGTGTGACGTTCTAGTGAGAACTCAGTGAGTGGCACAATTTTATTTTTAATGTTTTAATCTTTCCTTTGTAAAATTCATTCATTAAACCAGTTCAAATCAAAACTCAAAGTCAAGAACGTGAAATGGAAAAATACGAAGACATTTTAAATAAATAATTTATTTATTCAAAATAGTTTTCTTACCTTATTCACAGTTTCAAGTTTAAAATGGAAAAAAAGGGGGGGATAGTACCTATTCTTGATCAACTGTCATACAAAGTCAAAGAAAAGCGGATCCTTTCAGAACATGCACTAAATACAGAAACTCGCACAATGGCCAGTCTCCATCAAATCCTGCACCGAAGCTGAAGGAGGACAGGCTTCCTTCTGTGCAACTGAGGAGATGCTGCAGATGCACAGGACATTTCTCTAACCCATGTGAACCACTAAAATCACTTGGAGAAAAGTTCCCTTGACCAAAGTAACATCATCCAAAATAATTATTATCTTAAACCCACGTAGCTTAACATACCTCAAAAATGTCTACAAGTGTACCAGCCACCACAGCAAGTCTGTTAACACTGAGGTACCGTGTACTTCGCAAAGAAACAAATGCTGGGAGCCCCAAGTCTGATTCTGATTTTAGCACTTCCAATGAAAAGTCAAAGAACTCAGCCATGACTTGTCTGTCATGGGAAAAGAGAACTGTTTCCACTGCCGGGCCTGTTGTAGGTGGAGATTTCCCTCATATTTAATGAAACGAAGCACCGAATGGACAAACGAGCCCCCGGGAGCAGAAGGCACTGACAGGATCTCCTCAGCCGGAGCCTCGGGCACGAGTCACTGCACGCCGCTGCCGCGAGCAAGCTGATCCAGCAAATGGATGAGAATGTCAATTCTTTCCAGAAGAGTTGCATTTTTGTTAGCAATAGCTCTCAAAAGCTGCGAGTAAATCTGCTTGTTGGTTTTGAGGACTACATCTTCCTCAGTATTACTGCTGCATTAAAACAAAAACAAAGACGTGAAGTACACAGCAATGCCCACCAATTCAAGAAGAAATCCAAAAAAGTAAATAGGAATAGCCCGTCACTTTTCACAGGGAAGCAGGTGTTCTATTCATGTTTATTCCATACTTAACCTTCTTGCATCTATTGCTTAGAGGCCTGTTTGTGGACGTTTACTTCACTGCATCAACTAGAACCAATGCTCCTTCTCTTTGAGTCTCCGAGTGCGTCCCGTGTACTGGAAACGGCTCCTGGCAGTGGACAAACCAGACCAAGAGCCCCCGCCCTCTCGGCACCTGCGTTCCACTGAGGGAGGAGTAGGGGAGAAGCCGTGCATTGAACAAGAAGGAAACAGCGTGTCAGAGCAGACACGCTGTGAAGAAAATCCAGCGGAGACAGGCTAAGTACGGCACAGAGCTGTCCAGTATTTCCTCCCTTCTCTGTGCTGAGCCTGACAACCCTCAGATCAACCAGCCTGAATATGGGGATGCTCTCCGTGGGGCTAGAACTGCACCGGACTGAAGCCCAGACCCCAGACTTGGGAGCCACTCTACCTTGACGTATCCACACTGTCCATGCAACATCGTGTGAAGAATGCCCCTTGAGTGCAGGGTCCTAGACATACTCCACTTAAAAACTGTTTTAACAAAGACTTCAGTTGTCCTGAAAATAGGTCCCCCACAGGAAAGATCAATAGATTATATTTATGTTACTAGTAGAAAAGATTAGTAATTACATGGCAGTTCATCTCTAGCCTCTAGCATCCTTCCCCCCCCCCCCCCGTCCCCTTTTAAACGAGTCCAGATGCAATACAGACCCTCTGGCCACACGGGACCGGCTCCTGTGGACAGTGGATCGTCTCCGAGTGTGCGTGTCTGCATCTGAGCCGTGTGACAACCATCGCCTCAGAAGGGCAAGGACTTAGAATATTCCTACCTTACAGATGGAAAAACCAAGGCCCAGAAGGGCTAAATAATTTGTACTGAGGTCAAAACATTATATTCTGACTTCAAATGCTATGTTCTTTCCATTCACCAATGTACAAATGTTCTGCTTTTGCCTGAGTGCCCGTCCGGCCGGCCAGAGAGCCAACCAGCAGCCTTCTTAGAGACTCCCGTTGGCGCACATCAAGGCTCGGGCTAGGAGGCCTCAACAGGACCCACCTGTCCATGCTGGGGCCGACCACGGGGGACCCCACACACCCCTCTCTAGAAACCCATTTCTCTTCTCCCTCTTAGTCCTACTTCTTTTATCAGGCAAATCTCTCTTCCTTTCAAACCACCTGTGGCAGAGTAAAAGTGATCATTCAAAATGCATTCACTGTCTACAGTTTGGGCCTAAGAGCACGGTGTTTTAATTTCTGGGTGGGGCTGACGTTTATAAAACCTCTGATAATCTTATAAGAAACTTAAACTCCTGACAAATGAAGGCAGTAGTACTTAATCAGTGCTCCAAAAATGAGTTTTTCTTCAGGGACAATGACACCCTATTTTAGCTGGGGGCCTAAAGATAACTGATAGCTGCTGGGATCATAAATTTAAAACCCTCTGAGATTTGTTCTGATCCTATTTCTGAATCTTAAATATTCCATCTTCCAATTTTTCTTTTTTTAAAAAGATTTATTTATTTGAGAGAAAGAGAGCATAAGCAGGGAAGGGGCAGGCAGAGGGAGAGCAGCAGGCTTCCCACTGAGCAGGGAGCCCGATGTGGGACTCGATCCCAGAACCCTGAGATCATGACCTGAGCCAAAGGCAGACGCTTAACGACTGAGCCACCCAGGTGCCCCATCTTCCAATTTCTACAAATGATTCCCATCCTTAATCAACTCTCATCAACAGTTTCATTGAACCATGAACTCTAACAAGAAAGGTCTCAACATTTCATTGGCTTATCTTTTTTCCAAAGGCAACTAACATTCCTCTATTTTCCTTTTAATAATCTTAACCAAATATTAAACATACATATTAAATGGCCAGGAACAGCCCATAAAGCTAAAAGATCTGCTCTCTGCACTATGGTCAAGGGCTTTCCAAACCCTCAGAGATTACTTCTATTTTTCATAGTTTTTCATTCTATGAAACCCCAAAGCCATCAAAAAAGGTCAAGAGGTTCCAATCTGCTAAAGCAGTGAGTATTAACATATAGTACAAGAGTAAATAAATTCTTCATCCAAAAAGAGAACACAACCCAACAGATAAAACAAGCATTTCTAGCAGGACAACACCGGTTGTCATACGAGGAAGTTGTCATAAGAGGATTCTAAGAAAATTAAGATTTTTAATTACTAAGTTGTTTTCTTTTTAAGGCAGGGTTGTGGTAGGTAGAGAATAATCAAAACAAAACCCAAACATACTATTTCCTCTCTTTTAAAGTCTAGTTCTGGGGCGCCTGGGTGGCTCAGTCATTTAAACGTCTGCCTAGGCTCAGGTCATGATCCCAGGGTCCTGGGGTGGAGCCCTGTGTCTGCTTCTCCCCCTCTTGCTGCCCCCTTCCCCCAACTCATGCTCTCTCTCACATAAATAAATTAAAAAAAAAAAAAAAAAGTCTAGTTCTGATCTCCCTTTACTCCAAACAGGAATGCTCACAGCTCATGGTGAGACAGCGCAGGAGGCCTCCCTCCTCACGATAAAATCCCATGTTTTCATGTGTGATCAGTGACACAGGAGACACAGTCACTCAGTAACCAGTTTCTCTCTGTTTTGAAGCCTATCAACATATAAACTGTATAAACATAAATATCACATTTAACAGTCTTTTTACTTAATAAACCTTGAAAAATGAACACAAATTAGCTAAACAGGACTTTACACATCATGCATGAAAACTTCAGATTGCATTTTTTTCGAGAGGATATTAATAACCTGAAAAAACAGGTTAGAAGACCCTCCACTAAAATAAAAATTCCTTAAGTCATATATATGACGTTTTTTTTTTTTTTTAGATTTAATTTCTTAGAGTGTGTGTGTGCGAGCGTGTGGGGATCGGGGAGAGAGAATCTTAAGCAGGGTCCAGGCCCAGTACAGAGCCAGACTGGGGGTTTGATCTCACGACCCCAAGATCACAATCGGAGCTGAAACCAAGAGCTGGATGCTTACCCGACTGAGCCACCCAAGGTGCCCCGACAGTTATGTTTATAAAAGACACTGTAAGACCAAACCATCACCTGTTAGCTAAGTATTCAAACCATCGATTTGTGACAAATCAGTGAATCACTCTTTCTCGCGTAGCCTATGTTTATGTTGCCACCTTGTGGAAACCAAGAAAAAAATTTGAAATTTACCCGCTGTTGTTAAACAGGACAAGCCGTCAGTTTTTCAACTGCGTGTCACGACCCGCACGACCTGTGCCTTTTAGTTCTCTGGTTCTTCAGAACACAGCGCACGTGCCAATATGCCCTGGTCATACGGGGACGGCATGCAGAGCCGCGCCGAGGATGGACGGCAGCTGGGATGGCAGCGCACCCAAGACTGAGTGCTCCGCCCCAAACAAAAGCTCTCCACAGGCCACAGAGAATTATCTGAAAGCGTTACTGGAGAGGGTTTCTTCTCAGATGTAGACAGCAGGAAAAAGTATCATTCCCACCGTTTTGACAAACACAGCAATACAAAGCAGGACAAACTACAAGGACATGACTCTGCATGAATCTGTCAAAGAGCTGGGGTCGCTGGGTAAGCACTGAGTCTGCAAACTAAGGACAGACAGGGAGATAGCGAAGTACTTCCTCGTCTGCAGCAGATGCAGCCAGATACCCAGATACTGCTAAGAATTTAATGAGCTGGTAGAGGCTGAGTGAGGGCTGGTGAGGGAGTGAAGGGGGCTGCAGATATAGGATGAGTTTACCTTGTCTGGTAGGCTTTTCTTCAAAGACCCTACCAGACGCTCACATAAAAATCTGGCGAGAGCCCAAAGAAAGCAACCTTCGTGCAGGCTAGGCAAGGGGACTAGCTAGAGCTACGAAGGGCAGGCAACCCCACCCAGACCCTTTTCTCCAAGGAATGAAAGCCTTAACTGTAGGGTGTAGTCGAGGGACAGGAAGGCAACAAGCTATGGCAGTCTTAGGGCACTGGTCAAAGTCAACACAGAGCAGTGAACAGAAGAAACCACTCCACCCTGGGGCTGGGGCAGGAGCAGTGTAAGGCCACGCACCTGGCCCTCAGGGACCCAGTGTCTGCCTAAGACTGAGGCTTACTCAGAACAACTGAGAAGGCCTGGCCCGCCCTCTTCCCCTCCCTAGCAGGCTAGAAGCACTGAAGGACAAGCAGGAGTGGAATTATAGCTGAGAGAACTCCAAGAGTGTGAAGACAGACCCTCTCTCAGGTACCACACACCTTCCTTAGGAAAATCCTAAAACTAAAGGCGGAGGAGACATTCAGAAAAACCCTCTGCAGACCTGCTCCAGACTAAGCACAGGCACTGCTTGAGGAACTTGAAGGCTGCTGGACATGAAAAGTAACCACAGCAACAAAAAAAATCTCAACCACAGCTCAGCTCCAGGCTAGAAAAATGAACTCAACCCCCCATACTAAAGGTCTAGCATGGGACAGGTGTAAGAACTTTCCAGGCACAAAAATTACTTCCCTCAGGCTGAGATGTCCAGTTTCCCATAACTACGAGATGTAGAAAGGTAAGGAAACAACACACACCAAGAGAAAAAATCAACAGAACCAGAGTCAGATATGACACAGATGGTGGAGCTATCCGATCGGCAATTTAAAATGACAATGATTAATACATTAAAAGGCTCAAGTGGAAAATGTGGACAATGTGCAAGATCAGAATGGTCACTTCAGCAGAGAGATGGAACCTACAGAAAAAACCCAATGGGAATACCAGAAATGAGGAACACAGTAAACAGAGATAGAGAATGCCTTTGACAAGTTCAACTGTAAGTGACAAAAATCAAGAATCAGTGAACTTAAAGATAGATTAGCATAGGTACAACTGGAACCACAGAGAAAGAAGAGAGAATGGAACAGAAGAAGTAAAAATACCAAGGAAGGAAGGAGAAATCACAACACACCCAAGAATATCATGTTCAAACTGCTGGGGGGTGGGGTGAGAAAACCCTGAAAGCAGCTGGTGGAAAAAAGGCACATTATATACCTAAGAACAAAGGTAAGAATCAGAACAGGTTTCCTGTCAGAGAACACGCAAGCCAGAAGGCAAGGGAGGGACATCCCGTAAGTGTGGGACAAAAATGTCTGTCAACCTAGAACTCTATACCCAGCTAAAACATCTCCCAAAGCTGAAGGAGGAATAAAGACTTTCTCAGACAATCAAAATGGAAGAATTCTTTGCTGGTAGATGTTAAAGGAAGTTCTTCATGCAGAAAGAATAGGACACCAGACAGAAAATGGTATCTATACCAAGAAGAGCACTAGAAATGGAATAAATGAAGGTAAAATAAATTCACATAAAAATAAATTGTTCTATTCTTAATTGCTCTAAAAGGTAACTATCTAACGCAGAAACAGTAGTAGTGTATTGTGTTTGTAACATGTAAAAGTGAAATGAATGGTAACAACTGAAGAGAGGGAAGAACTGGGAGGGACTATCTGAAGGTCTTCATACAACATGTGGTGCCACAGAATATCACGTGAAAGTGGTCTCTGATTAAAGATGTAAACCTAAACCCTAGGTCAACCACCAAAACATTTAAAAAATAGTATAAATAATAAATCAATAGTGAAATCAAATGCAATCATAGAAAATGTTCAATTAACTCGAGAAGGCAAAAAAGACAAAACAGCTAACAAGAGGACAGATTTTATCTAACTATACTATATCACCTTAAATGTAAATGGTCTGAAGACACCAATTGTAAGTTTGGATTAAAAAAAGCAAGACCCAGGTATATGTCATTTATAAGAATCTCACTTTTACTAAAATGGCATAGTTAGGTCAAAAGAAAGAAAAAGACTATCAACCAAAAGAAAGTTGAGTAGTTATATTAAGATAAAAAGCAGATATCACATGGTAAGGGGGTCAATTCTCCAAGACAGACCAATCCTTAATGTGTATGCATCTAAATGTGTCCACATCAAAACAGAGGAAACAAAACTGACAGAACCGAAGAGAAAAATAGACGAATCCACACCTGTAGTTGGAAAATTCCACTCCTCTCTTAGTAATTGATAAAACAAGTAGAAAATCAGTAAGAATACAGAAGACCTGAATAATACTATAAACCAACTTAATTGACATTTCCAGGATGCTCTATCCAAGAGAGCAGGATACCCATATATTTCAAGTGCACATGGAAAGACAAACCATATTCTAGGCCATAATACAAACGTACACAAAAAAGAGAAATCATACGAAGTTATGGTCTCAGCACATAATGGAATTACTAGTAATCCATAATAAAGATTACCTGGAAAGTCCCACTATTTAGGAACCAAAACAGCATGCTTCTAAATAACACAGGGGTCAAAGAAGTTGTTTCAGGGGATATCAAAAATTAAAATTAAACTGAAAGAAAAAGAAAATACATTTGTGAGATGTAGCAAAAGCAGAGTGAAATTTGTAGTAAATGCTTATATTAGGAAAGAGAAAGGGTCTCGAGTCAATAATCTAAGCTTCCACTTAAAGAAACCAGTAAAAGAAACCCATAATAAGCAGAAAGAAAGGCATATAGATAAATGTATAAATCAATGACACTGAAAATAGAAAAATGGGAAAAAAAATTGAATAAACCAGTTCTTTGAAAAGATCAATAAAATTGATGAACTTCTAATCAGACTAACCAAGAAAAAAAAAAAAAGACAAAAGTTGGCAATATCAGGAATGAAAAGAGGGCTACCACAACAAACACCTTAAGACATTAACAGGATAATACGGAACACTGTGAACCTATACATCTGACAACAGCTAAAATACACTTTCATTCCTCAAGAAGAAAAAGTCAACTTTATCTACGAAAAGAAATTAAACTCATTGTGAAAAACTTTCAATAAAGCCAACTCTAGGTTAAGATAATTTCACTAGTAAATTCTAACCTTTAGGGAAGAAACAATAACTCTACACTCCTAAAAACCAGAAGAGGAAACACTTGCAAAGGGATTTAATAAGGCCAGCAGGGCTCTAGTACTGACAGCAGACAAAACCACTACAAGACCAGAACTGTGATCACACTACAGGAGAGAACCATCCTCACAAACAAACACAAAAATCCTCAACACCGTATTAGCACACGGAATCCCAGGGATACCCAAGAATGACACATGCCAACAAAGTGGGGTTTATCTCAGGAATGCAAAGCTGGTTTAACATTCAAAAAACCTGAACGAGCTCTAGCACATCAAGAGATTAAAGAAGGAAAACCATGTGGTCATTTCAATGTGTGTACCAATAAACTGACAAAAATTCCACATCCATTCATGGTAAAAACTAGGAATAGAAGGGAACATTCTCAACTTGATAAAGGGCATCTACAAAAACCCACAGCTGATGCTACACTTCCTAGTAAAAGACAGCAAGCTTTCTCCCTGAGATCTAAGGATTTGGGGCAGAGCAGGGGCTGACCACCAAGAGGTAGCAAGACGGAATTTTTGGAGTGATGGAACTGTTCTGCGTCATGATTTTGGCAGGAGACACATATCTGTATGTGTTTCTCAAAACTTGAAGGACTATACACCACCAAAAGTAAATTTTACTATATGTAAACTAAAACAAATATAGAGACAAAGCACCTGAAGATTATAAATTGATAAAATACACACACAGAATAACTGATAACAATGTATGTGTAGGGTGATGGCTAGACTGTACTTATATTTAAAAAAAGGAAGACATTATTTATATTACCTTCCTGATCTAGTACCTACTACTAGAATTTTAAGTTAAATTAATAATGCCAACATAATAACTCTGGCAAAAACAAAAGAACTATGGGTGTATGAGAACATTTTTTGCTGAGATGCTCACACTTTTCTCTTCACTAAGTTCTTGGGCTTTACAGAGATTTCAATACTCTGTCATCTCCTTCCTATCAGTGTATTCGGTGCTGAATATCAAAACTGTACTCCTGCCTTCCCATTAAAGACAATGGAGAGTTACTAGAAACAGTCGAGGTCTTCATTCCAGGGTCAGTCACATCTCACTCAGGGAAAACATTATAACCAGTAGGGTATTTACTCTTAGGAAGCAAGACCTGTTTCTATAGTTTCAATACGTAGTAGGCCACACGGAGAGGAGTCTCATCTGATTTACCAAGTCAGGAAAGAGCACCACTTAAAATCCCTGATTACCCACATAAAAGACAAGAATGAATACAACCTATCTATCTTTTCATACGGTCAGTAGAGATTATTACCTTTCTACAGGTTAAGCTGCTGGAAAAGAAATTTCCACAAAGAACCATTGGATTTACCTTGTTTTCTTCTTAGTTGAAGACAGCAGCTTGATGGACTGAAGGAGAAGGAATGACAACCGAGATTCAAATATACTGAGGAGCTTGATCACTTCTTCTCGATTAAGACTAGGAGAGGAATCCGCAGCTGGAGTGGACTCATCACTCTTAGGCTGAAAACAACAAGAAGTTAGTTTACCCAAGCTGCCCGAGAGTGACAGCTTCATAGTGAAGTGAAGGGACCACAGTTGCACTCACCCCATAAACTTATTAGCCAAAAACAAAACCAACAAAAGGAAACCCCAGGTCATTTGTCTTCCTCCAGGCACAGCCTGTTGAAATGTGATGAGCCTCCCACCCGGGAGATCACTCTGATAGACTAAAACCTGTGAAAAATGCCTCACACCTAACAGGCACTTACATAGAAGAAATTAATCCCGAATGGAAATCTCCCACTTTGCAACACTGCAGTAAAGGAGCAAGATGGAAATGGGCACGCTACAGGGTTGGACAAACCGGGGCTGGAAGAGGTAACAGGCTGGTGGACCACGGGGGATTCAGGGAAGCTTCCAGCAACAGCAGAAGGCAGCATGAACGCTGGAATGCCAGGCAAACTAGAACTGCTTTCCAAGGAGCTTAAGCCTATTCATTGTTCAACTGCTCCCCAGCAGCAGTTCAGCAGAAATTATAAAAGAGCTATGTACCTCTTTCTTTCTTAAAAACAAACAGAACAACAACAAAAAAGAACAAAAAAAGCAAAAGGAATACACAACAGAGATGTTATGCTACTGGGGTCTTACTAAGCTCTATGTGGTTAAAGAACAAAAAATTTTAATATAAAAGATATAGTTCCAACTTAAAGAGTTTAATAATCCCACCAAGAAAATATACTAGATCACTGTTAATGGGTTTTATGCAAAGCACATATATGTATATATGTCCGTATATACACATACACACATCATACACCTCACACACACACATACCCCACATGCTCACTATGTATGTTCACCATTTAGCTTAAGACACACAAAAAACAAAGATAAATATTTTCTCCATTTACCTGGTCAAATTCCTCTACAAGCTCCTTTCTGATGAGCTGGAATGCATGCTTAGTTCTCACCATTATATCAAGTGCCCCAGATAGTGTTTTTAATTTTCCAACATTGCTATTCTGACCTAGAGTGTTAAAAACACAAAAATGATCATTCCTTTAAATATAAATCTAGAAACCCATCCAATGTCAATGTATTAATGAAAACGGATTTTCAAATGCTATAATAGTAGCTCACGAGAATCTCAACAAATTTTCTAAAATTCAACTTTTAATAATTATCCCTAAATAAAAATATTAAGTCTACAAAACAATAAGTAACAATTGTCTCCCTGCCTTACCATTTGGTTCTGTCAGGGTGAGAACACAGCCTATCTGAAATAAGACCGGAATGTAAGGTCAAAGAAACCAGCTGGGACAAGTCTGGTCCAAAAGCCCCCAAATCTTTACATTACTTTTTTCAGGTACTCAATTTTTAAACATCTTTTAGAAGGAAAATTAACCATACTTATCATCTTAGCAAATTTGTTCCCGTCTGTTTCTATGAAAATGATGCCTGCTCTCTTGAAGGAATTCAAACATGGCAGAAAATTCAAAGATGCAAATGAAAATAGGTCACCCAAAACCCACCCCCCAGAAAGAGCTACTGTTAATCCTGCCATTTAGTATACACTGGCAAAAAGTTAAAAATACTTTCAGTAAAAAGTTTTTGTGTGTGTGTGTTTTTTTTTAAAGATTTATTTTTCTGGGGTGGGGGTGGGGGGAGGGAAGGGAGAGAGAGTCTCAAGCAAACTTCACACTGAGTGGAGCCTGACATGGGGCTCGATCTCATGAACTTGAGTCACAACCTCTGCCAAAATCAAGAGCCAGATGCTTAACTGACTGTGCCACCCAGGTGTCCCAGTAAAAAGTATTTTTAAAAACTGTTTTGAATAGGTAATACATTCTCAAAATGTATAAAATCTGAATCAGAAAACAGTGAAAGCCTTCCTCCTGGCTCCCAGAGACAGCAATGTTATCACTTTCTTGTGCATCCTTCAGGGATACTCTACTGAAAGAGTCTCATCTACCTGGTTAAGTATTACATTTATTTTAATTTTATACAAGAAAACAACTGAAATAAAATCAAATGAACAGCTGCACTTCAAAGAAATGTTTCTTTCTTTACCACATGAGAGCTAGTTCTCCAAAGACCCCTGCTGCAGAAGGGGAGCAGGTGGGCAAGAGCGGGAGAACTCAGGCAAACACATTCAGCGTGGGGCAGCGACTCCTTCCCTGCTGTGGCCTGCCCTAACAAAGCCAGCTCCTCCACCTGCCTCCTTCCCTTCCCTTCCCGCATAGCTCTAACCTTGCTCAGGATCTACAGTTCTAGTTCCGTAATCTACAGCTGCCAGTACCCACTGTAGGTTTAAAGGAATTCAATGGGACCACTGCTTCTCTATGTTGTTCATGTGATTTATATCTCTAATGGCCTCAAGTGACCGGTCATATTTTTTTTTTCCAAGTAAGAGAGCATGGGCTATATTTCAGTATTTCTACGAACATAAATAGGTCACAGAACACAATCAAACCCATTTTCTAAACTTCAAGAAGTATAGAGACTTCTCCTGGCCCCTACCCAAAGCCGTTAACTATGGGCAAGTTAAAAAGAAAACAACATTATTTACATTCAAGAGAGATCCCCACGTCTGTCTCACTCTAAGACAATCCAACACGAAGTCAGTGCACACAGATCTGTAAAATGAAAAAGTTAAGACTTACTGGTCATTTGGAATTCTGCAAATGCCACTCTTTCTAACTGTACTCTAAGTAGTTCACAGGGAGCATCTTTGAGAAGCTGAAAAAGCTTAACAGCTTTGCTATAATGAAGATCTGCCAGCACCCGGTGCTGCTTCCTAAGATGTTCATCACCAACCTAGAATCAAAAATAAAATAAAAAGACAAATCTTAAAGCCTGGGTTTCACTGTAACTACTTAACCAAGTCTCTGGATCACTAAATGTTATTTAGTGTCATTATTTTTCTAGAAGTCTTATAGTTTTAGTTCTTACAGTTAGTTGTTTAATCCTCTTTTGGTTAATTTTTGTATATGGGGCGCTGGAGTCCAACTCCAGCATGTGGACATCCAGCTGTCCTGGCACTATCAGCTGAAAAAACAATTCTTTCCCCATTGGGTTGTCTTGGAATGCTAAAGCTTGCTTTTGCCTTGAGGATACTAGGCCATCTGGGCAAGCCTGAATTTTGGTTAGGATGTCCTGGGGCAAGGGGAAGAGTGTCCAGGGGCCAGCTTAAAGTGAAAAGAAATCCTCTCTGATTAAGCTGGACCTCAAAGGACAGTATTCTCAGGATAAGGGCACCCAGAAGAAGGCCCATACCCAAGGGACTGCAAGGTAAGTTGTCTTGGTCCTGAGCTAAGTAAAGGGAAAGAGCAACACGAACAAAAAAACATTCCTGAGAAACTTCAAACACAAGATTCCTTGGCAGAAGCCAGGCAACCATTCTGAAGGAAGGTACCTTCAACCTGGGCCTCTATTTATTCTTAGACACACATGCATCTGAGTACCAGGATTCATGTACAAGGTTGTTCACAGCAGATTACTTCTAATAGCCTCACACTAAAACGATCCAAAAGTTCAGAAATCACAAAATGGATAAACTGTGATATATTCATTAAATGAATACTAGTGAACTAAGAAAATGCACCAACCAGGAGGAATCTCAAAAACACCACGTCTAGTGAAAGGCAATAAACCACAGAATACGTACAGTATGATTTCTCCTATAAAGTTCACCACCAGGTAAAATGTTTAAGTGGTAAAACAGAAAAGGTGCGGACATACTGGAAAATCCAGGACAGTAGTTACTCCGGGTGGGTCTGGAGGGAGACTTGGTGGGGAGGGGGTGGCGCACAGAAGATAAGTAATTTCACAAAATAATACCCAATCAATTATTGTAGAGAAAAATATGCAGCAGAGGCGAGAGTGGAAAATCACCTACACTGCAAGTTTTTCTAAAGCAGCTAACAGAATAGATGGCATTTAAATAGATAGTGAAATATAAGAAAAACAACCAGACACTTTTAAATGGACTTGGCATTGAACTTAAGTTTGGAATGGCAATACCTGATTTCTCAGACAACTGTGGTACATGGATGCCAGCCTGTGATGGATGGTTGCGGCTCGGTACTGACAAAGAGGCTGTCGAGCAGAGATTGAGTCCACATCACAGTATTTCAAGGACTTCATCATAGCCTCACTGACTTCTTTTTCAATCTGTTTTTTTTTTTTTTTAAGGGGGAGGAGAAAAAAATGACAAGCCTATAATCTTAAATAAAAATATTTAAATCCTGCTTGTTATGGAAAATATGCTCAATATCTGTTAAAGGCATAAAGTTGAAGACTTCTTTTATAGCCCCGCAAATATTATTACCTGCTCCTGAGCTTTCCTAGATAATGGAGCATAATCTTGCTGTAGAGTTGCCATCGTGAAATAAGTCGTGGACAATTCCCAATTCACTGAATCCCAAACAGCCGGGTGTATGTCTCGTGTCCCCAGTGACCTCAGAGCTTTCAAATAGTAATCAACAGCCTGCGAGGGAGGGAAAGATCCAGTTCTGATACGCCAACAACATATGAAAATAAAACATACTTTAAAATCACCCAGATGTTAATTTGGTGTGGGAACAATTTACAGAAGGGCAATATTGTGAGGAAAGGAAAAAACCGTATCAATGAAACTGTTGCAATGAGGCAAGCCAGTTCAAGTGGACTGCAAGCCCTCCCCATTTCCAGGGCGAGTCCAGCATAAGCCTTAGTGCCTTCTGACTCATGCTCATGCACGAAGATGCATTTCCTTTGGTTTTTTTTCCTTTCTAAATGAAAATTTGTTTATATAACTAGTAAGCTAGAAAAAACTAACTTGATGAGCCCAAGGATAAAAAATTGCTGGATCTGACTGTAAAAAGCAACCCCTTCCACCCTTTCCCACCTCCAGCCTAAAGGGCATGGTCATTATATTTAAGCAAATAAAATCACATTTAATTCCATCACCTAGCAATAATTTCTACATTTCTTGTGTGTATCATCTACATTTTTCTGTGTATCTGTAAACTTAAAAAAACTATAAAAAGGATTTTAAAATCTCCCATGCCATGGGGCACCTGGGTGGTGCATCTGACTCTTGGTTTCAGCTCAGGTCATAATCTCAGGGTCGTGAGATCGAGCCCTGCATCTGGCTCTGTGCTCAGCAGGTAGTCAGTCTGCTTGTTCTCTCTCTCCCTCTCCCTCCTCCTCCCATACTCGCACTCTAATAAATAAATAAATCTTAAAAAAAAAAAAATCTCCTATGCCACAAACATTCTTCACTAGTATTCACATAGCTGTGAAGTACTTGTTAAAGGAGTGCTCTTGGGTTGCCTGGGTGGCTCAGCCGGTTAAGCATCTGACTCTTGGTTTCAGTTCAGGTCATGATCTGAGATGGAGCCCCACCGCTGGCTCTGCACGGAGTTGGCTTGTCCTTCTCCCTCCCCCCTGCCCCTCCCTGCCCCCCCTCAAAATAAATAAAATCTTAAAAAAAAAAAAAAAAAGGTGAGCTCTTGTTCCAACACTGGATGTTACCACTTGCCAAAATACTTGGCAATTCGATAAACAAAAGAAACTCAATTTTTAAATTTCATAAAAATTTAAAATTTCTTACATATTGACCACTTTTTTTTTAATGTGTATGAATTTTTTGTTCAAGATTATTTGCCCCTGGGGCGCCTGGGTGGCTCAGTCGTTAAGCATCTGCCTTCGGCTCAGGTCATAATCCCAGGGTCCTGGAATTGAGCCCCGCACTGGGCTCCCTGCTCCGTGGGAAGCCTGCTTCTCCCTCTCCCACTCCCCCTGCTTGTGTTCCCTCTCTCGCTGTGTCTCTCTCTGTCAAATAAATAAATAAAATCTTTAAAAAAAAAAAAAAAGGATTTGCCCCTTAATGAGCACTGGGTATTATGAATCACAGACCTGTACCTCTGAAACCAATAATACATTATATGTTAATTAAAAAAAAAAAAAGATTATTTGCCCTTTTGTCTATTGTGGCAGTTTATTTCCAGTGATTATTTATTTATTTTTAAAGTAAGCATTATGTGCAAACGTGGGGCTCGAACTCACAACCCGGAGACCAAGAGTCGTGTGCTCTACCAACTGAGCCAGCCAGGCACCCCTGTCTTCAATGGTTCTTAACTCTTCTTCATATATGAAGGGTTTATCCACCTCTGATCTGTTCTGTGTTATCAATATTTTCACTAGACTGGGGTTTGCTTTTCAATTTTGCTTTCTGTTGTGCATTTGGGAATTGTTATTTTTACACATTTAAATGTATCCATCGTCTACTCTGTGACCCCTGCTATTGTGTTGTGCTGGTCTCATCACACAAAGCTTCTCCTCCACTTTCTCCTGGCACTTTCTCAGTTACCCTTCTCCACGTCAGCCTTTAATCCACCTGATGTCTCCTCTGCTTACGCCAACACAACTCACTGAATAATCATCTTTTCAACATGCCACCCTCAACACTACATTCTCGCATTCTCGGGCCGGTCTCTGAGTGTTCTGTCTCCTCCTGTGCCATCACCACAGTTCTAGTTAGCTTTATAATATTTTCAGGGAGCGATGGCAAAGGTAAATGGCAATTAGGTGTAAATGGATGAGGTCCGACACGCAAGCAAGTGTGTTACCTTATTGTAATATAAGCCTTCTTCTGGTGAGAATTCCCGCTTAAATTCATCGCTGGCACCACAGTGCGCCTGCGCACAAATCCGCATGAGTCTCCCCGTGTTACACAACAGAAGGGCAGCATTCGTGGCATCATCAATCGACTCAAAGTTGTGAATTCCTTTTTCAAAACAAGAAAAGCTTTTTTTCCACAACTGCTGCTCCGCGGTAGACACGCTTTTGCTCACTGCACCAAAAAGAGAAAAAAACACATGTAAGCAGACATCAGTGTCAACCCTCTGCACGTCCCAGGAAAGGACAAGGGCAGGAGGACAGGGACAGGACAGCTAAGGAACCAGCTGTGTGCAGCCATCGCAGTGACCTGCTTGCATCATACCCCCCTCAAACTCATGGCGAGGCCCTAACCCCAATGTGACTGTATTTGGAGACAGGGCCTGTAAAGAGGTAATTAAAGTTAGACCAGTCATAAGATGGGGCCCGGATCCCTCTTGACGGGTGTTCTTCTAAGAGAAACAGACACAAGGGGCACACGCACAGGGAAGACCAGGTAAGGACACAGCAAGAAGGTGGCCATCCGCAAGCCACGGAGAGAGGCTTCAGAAAAACCCAAACTTGCTGGCACCTTGATCTTGGACTTCCAGCTTCCAACTTGTGAGAAGTAGGATTTCTGTCTTAACCCACCCGATCTGTGGTATTGTTATGGCAGCCTGAGCAGATTCATACAATACTCAAACATGGCCCTCTTTCACTATAAACTGATATGAAAACAAGCAAATAAAAACATCTGAGCAAAGCCCTATTTTATAAAGATTCAAAACACGTGGTCCCATGGAGTTGTAAGAGGTATGATCTGGGTTGTATCTAATTCTCCTAGGTTTCTACCACTTTGCGTGCTCCTTCAAGGACTCCCCCCTCCAGAGACACCTCAAAAGCACAGGTTCTTACATAACAAAACACTTTAAAAAGCATGACCTCTTTGTATCCCCAGTGCCAAGCACAGTTCACAAACAACCAGGCACACGCACACTTCGTCAAATTACCCGCTGTCCTCCATACTACTGCACCCTATTCCTTCCTTACGCTGGGTGGTCTTGACATTTCCAACATTCTCATGGATCTAACTATCCCCTCCCTATATCATCTGAGTGATCCCCAACCTATGTCTTGCTAACCCCAAAAGCTCTAAGTACAGGTTTCTAACCAACAACTGAGCCAGACCTTCCACTCACATGTCTACCCGTATCTCCAACTTGACACAGGCCCAGCTGAATCCGTCATCCTCTGCCCGAATCACAAAAGACCACTTGCTGCTACCCTCACAGTCCACTGGACGCTGCGTCTCTAGTCCTTCTCAATATTGCCTATTCAGTCTGGACAGCACACCCTTGCCCATATCTGCCTGTTGATATCCTACGTCATGCACCAATCTGCTCAAACCACACCTTCTTTCCAAAAGCCCTCAAAAAGCCTTACAACTTCAATAAACATCTCCTTTCCCCACTCTTCTACTGTACTGCATCTGTGCTTATGGCATTTTTCAAAAATTTGTATTTCTCTATTTATATTTTTAAAAAATATTTTATTTGACAGAGAGAGATACAACGAGAGAGGGAACACAAGCAGGGGGAGTGGGAGAGGGAGAAGCAGGCTTCCCGCGGAGCAGGGAGCCCGATGTGGGGCTTGATCCCAGGACCCTGGGATCATGACCTGAGCTGAAGGCAGACACTTAATGACTGAGCCACCCAGGTGCCCCTCTTTTATTTTTTCTTAAGACTTTGTTTTTATGTAATCTCTACACCCAACATGGGGCTTTAACTCACAACCCCGAGATCGAGTCACATGCTCTACCAACAGAGCCAGGCCGGCACCCCAAAGATCTGTATTTCTCTGGCTTCCTGACATGAAAGAGGACTATGTTTTAGTCAATTACACATGCAGCACAGAGCCTAGCACAGGCCGGCTGTGCGCTTCACTTCTGAACTGATCAGATGGAGAATGGAGGACAATGAAATGATGAATCTCAAAGGGAAATGTATTTTCCTATCTTTATTTCTCAAGAACTTAAGAATAAAAGACTCATCAACAGAGCACCCCTTTCTACATCAAGTCAAGTGCCACAGTTCTTTGCTCAGACCATAAAATCAGCATGATTTTCTAAGAGAAGACGCAATAAAGAGAGGACTCCAAAGAGATACTCACCTACTCGCTCACTCTGCAGTGCAGCAGCCTGATTCATGTAAAACACACCAATTTCATTTCTAATGTTACCCATTCTCTTCAATACTTGTACGTAGTGTTCTGGGTTCTGGCTTTTTAAGTCACTAAATTGCAAGATTTCATTAGCAGCTTCGTAACATTTACAACTGACTGAAAGCTGACTCTCTAAGTCTGTAGACAAATCAGTTGCCCATGCAAACCCTTGAAAGAAAAAGAAGGAAACATCACCATGAGTCCCGAGAACCCTTTTTCCTTAGTATCCATGTAATCTCCTATTTTTAAGACAGTAAAGAAATCCAAAATGGTATAATCCTACTAGGATTTAATCAATACATCTAAAATTTTACGTTTTAAAGTAAAGATCTTTTAATTTAGAAAACTATGTTTTCCTGGGATATTAATGTTTTAATAAAGAAATATTTTCCTGACCAAAAATACCAAACAACTTCCATGATCTGGATTTTACCAAGCACACTTGCTCATTGGTACAGACTTGAAGTTCACTGATACGAGATAAAACATTTTTTTTCCTTTTTAATTAATGGAAATAGTTCTTGAAATAGAGCTGACTGCTACAAGAGGCTACTTACGTACCTTACAGTTTGCAATGTCCGTTTACCTCACTGAAGAAGCTGCTACATAAGCTCTCAAAGACTCCAACAGGCCATCTGGTGGGACTGGAGTAAACTCAGGTGCAGGGCCCAAAATTCAAGGGGGAAAAAAGGGAACACCCCTGCTGCTAACACTGGCATCCACGAGAGATGTCACTCTCACACAGAAGTGTTTTAAATGAAATTAACTTGATGAAACTGATCATTTGAGAAACTCAAGAGAGAAGAGGAAGAAAGAGGGCCAAAGTGAGGAAATACTACGTTTCCCCCAATGTACTTCTCCAGATGTGTAAATGTCCAAAAATTTTGGTGAGGTGGATATCAAATAACATCAACGCTTTAAGAGCAAAATACGACAATGCCATGATAGAAGGACGGATCTCCGAGCTCATTTACCACCCTGACCACAGTGAGCTTACAACCGTAACTAAGGATATAGTCGCTGTGGACTAATTCTATCTCCCAGTTTTAAAATCAAACAACTCTAAAACAAAGTAATATATTCAGTAAGACAGTCAGCCATGAACTAAGTTTAAAAAAGTGATCTCTGGATCTGGGCCCCCAAAAATCATTCAGAAGGTAATTCACTCCCTTTTACCAACTGTTATTCCTTTCCAAAAGAAAACCATGGCTTAGTTCACTTACCTAGGAAAACCTCACGAAAAGACAAGAGTAAAAAAGTCAACACAATTGTCTTAGAGCTTATTTTATCTTTAGTCCTAGTTGTATAATTAGTAATTACGAAATACTTTGAAATCATTTTACACACAAATACACGAGGGATCATGTTCAATTTTAAAATGAAGCAATCAATGAAACAAAATTGCAATATCAAAACACTAATATTTTCGCCACTTTCCTGGACATACCCGGATAAGCATAAGCTGGACGGAATAATCCCCACATGAATCGAATGCTGGGTCTCACTGGCATACCTTGACAACTGGACTCCCTGTGGAGGCTGTGTAGTATCTCCTGATCTTCTTTTGTTTGATAATTAAACTCCTCAAGATGTGCTGCTCTGTTGTTTGCATTCTGGGCCAGCATCAGTTGGATGTCGCCACAGAGCGTCAAATACTGAGACAGAAATAGCAGCACTTCCGAAAGCATGTTGGTGCAGAGGCAGCAGTAAGTATCTGGGCAGAAGGGGTGCAAGAGAAAAAGACACCGGTGTATTAGAAATTAATGAATACAGTGAATATTAATTTGTTACTAGCTGAAAGCTTTGTACCACTATATCTATTCTACATTTATATTATGTCAGATATCACATATGGCTTTATGTATCTCAAAAGGAAGAGATAGGGGTAGATGAACCATGAGAGACGATGGACTCTGAAAAACAAACAGGGTTCTAGAGGGGAGGGGGGTGGGAGGATGGGTTAGCCTGGTGATGGGTATTAAAGAGGGCACGTTCTGCATGGAGCACTGGGTGTTGTGCACAAACAATGAGTCATGGAACACTTTATCTAAAACTAATGATGTAATGTATGGGGATTAACATAAGAATAAAAAAAAAAGTGTAAAGTAAAAAAAAAAAAAAAAAGGAAGAGATAATCAACCAGAGCAGAAAATAAAATACGAAGTAACACACTCAAGACTGGAAAAAGTTATTTCAAAGTTAAATTTTACAACAGAAATAGGAATAAAACTTCACTGTGATTCAGATGCCTTTTCTGTTCTCCCCTCCCAATGTCTATGAAGTGTATTAATTTTTACAATGACTTACCGTGGCTCTGCAAAGCTAATTTAATGTATCGTAACGCTCTTCCATATTTCTGAAGACTCATGGCAGCATCAGACAAAACATAATAGGCCTTTGATGACTTGAGAATCAGCTGGAGTTTCATTTTATGTTGCCAAGAACCAGGGATCATTCCAGATTGACTGGAATAATTACCCTTCTGAAGGGAGCCCACTATGACAATGGAGGAGGAGAAAGGAAGCACATTTTATCTGAATGTAAGTCTCACTATAAATAACGTTTCTTGACAGACAGTCCAGGCTTAGGTACTATGGCTACAAGACTGGTAAATACTGTGCTTTACTACTTAACCACAGAGTAAAATGGCAGTGTTTCAATAGACCCTCACTGGGATTTCTGAAGGCTCTCTGCTCCCTGCTGCCGTCAACTCTGTCATGCTCTTTCAGGGTCACTGACATAACTCATGACTGGCATGTCCTTTCTCCAGTCTATGTATTAACCTGCCAGGGGGTTTACCTTCCTTAAACAAGCTTTAATTATAGTGGGACCCCTGTTCTAGAACACTGAAATGGCTCCGTACCACTTATTAAGTCCTGTCTAAGCATCTTAGCCCACTTCCTAGGTGACATTTTTGTCTTCCTCCCCAGTATTCCACCCTTACTACTCATCAGCCAAAGTCAAGTTACTGCTTGTTGCCCGCACAGATGCCTATTTTTCCCACCTCCTCTCTTAGTGAACTGTTTCCTCCACCAGGAACAGGCTTTATTTAATAAAGCCCAGCCTACTACTACCTTCTTCATCTAACAAATGATCACTTTTGTGCAAAGCACTATGCTAGGCACCAGAAACCGTGACGTGAAATTCTTTGTTCTCCATCCTTAGAGATCTCGCACACTAGAGGTAGAGATAGGCTGCTAACACAAACCACAGCAAAATCTATTATTAAGTGCAATGACAGAGATAAGAACAAAATGCTGTGGGAATCCTCCTCCCCAGTCTCTGAGCCTCAAGATTTCTCATTTTTTGATCAGTGACAACATGAATCTTTCAAACCAATGAAAGGTACTTATAATCTCTCTTATGGTTTTAATTGTGCATGTATTTCTTTTTCCTCTGTTATTGTACGCATTCTCTGTGTGTGAGGCTTGGTGAGAACACCAGAATTGAATAAGACACAATTTTTGCTCACAATTGTATTGGTGTGTGTGCATAAAACCATTCAACACAGCTAACTATGACATAAGGCAGGCTTCAGTTAAGTGCTCAAGGACAAAGTGGTAGGAGAATCAATTCTGACTAGAGAGAGAGGTGAGCATAAATCTCTTGAACATCAGCAGGATTTTCAACAGCTGAGCTGGGGACGAAGAAAGAGAGAAAAGGCATTTCAAAAAAAAGAATACCATAAAAAAGGCAGAGATGTCTCAAGTCCTGGTGTTCTCCTCACAGTATAAAGGCTGAAGCCGGGCACACAGGAAGCAGTACTTAAATGCTAGGGCAATAAATTTACTCCCCCCACATACAACTTATATTCATGAAGAGAAAAATCAGGAAAGCTCTTGGTATTTCATACAGGCTTCCAAAACATTTTTTTTAAGCAACTGAAAGTGATTTTTTAAAAGTCCACATGTTCTTCATGAAGTGACTTTCCTGAGGAACAAATTAGACAATTCATAAGCGACCTTTCTAGCTTATTCAAGGCCCACTCAGTAACAAAAGCCAACAATCCCATGGCGCTTATTACGTGCAGTTCTAAGTACTTCACACATATTAATTCATTTAATCCATATAAAAACTTTAAAGTAGGCACTATTGTCTCCATTTTGAGAGTGGAAAAAAAAAATAAGGTTCAAGAACGTGGAACTTGCCTTAGCAAAGCCAAGATTGAGGCTAGGCAGTTTGGTTCCGAAGTCTGCTCTTAAACACACGACTGCTTTTACTGAAGCAGTAATTTCTTATGAGAACCCTACTGAGCTGAGGGCACTGAGCTGAGGGCATTAGCTCGCTGCAGGGAACTGGAAGAAGCGGAACTTATTAGGAATATCTATAAAGGGCCAAAATTATCCTTTGTTTTATATTTTGAATGAAATGGTATTTTCCCCTACTTTCCATTCACACGATATCCTTCTGAATTCCTTTCAATGAATGCCTTAATTGACATAAGTCTGCTGTTGATAAAGGACTAATATACTATTCTATAGAAAAGTCCTTATTTGCACATCAATTCAACTTACTTTTGTCCAAAAACAAGGCCATCTGCTTCTCCAGACCCTCAGGACCCCCCCTTGTGGAGTCATCTTCATATTTTAATGGGATTGGGGTGTTGGGGTCAGCTGCAGGAAGGTCGCTTTCTTTTTTAATGCTGCTATCCACAGATTTTAACCCCTTTAAAAAAGGAGAAACATTTACTATACGCATAACTGAAGGTCAACTAGAAACTAAATATAAGGCTCTGAACACATTTAGGAGTATTTAAATTTTGAAAACAGACTTGAAAAGACTACATTTTACTTGAAACGGTTGGGAAAAACTAATTTTCACTTTATGCTTAAAGGGGAAAAAAAGAATCATTCAGAATAATGTTTAGACACCAATAAACAAGCGCTATGTGCATACCAAATATAAGTTTACTGAAACAGTGAAGACAAAATTAAGACTTACCTCCAGAACATAGCTAAGCACGAGTCTACAGCGCTCCTCTGTGTCATGGCAAACTGGAAACGTGCAACTGGGCTTCAGAAACAAACATTTAAAACTATTAATATGCTGCCCACGTGACAAACTCCACAGCTCTCAGCTCCTGGGAATTATTAAAACTCTACACATCAATAATTTCAAAATCTGCTGTGTATTCAGCTTTGTGAGGTCACTGATACTAAGGTTAATGTACTGCTTTCACTGCAGATAAAAGTGACATAAGCATCCACAAAAACCTTGCCTCATAAAAAGATATTCCAAAGTATATGTTACTTTAAATTCTTAAAGTTTTAAAAATAATTCTATTATGAGAAAAAAACAAGAATGTGAGTAATGTTTTAGATACATGTATACCTAATCTAATAGGTGAGTTTAATCCCTAATTAGCACTGATACTTGGTAACACACAGTTAACAGTATCATCAAGTTAGCAGTAAGTATCACCAATGGTCTCACTGCATAATTTGCACAATTTATATGCTTAATTATGAGCAGAACCAGTTAACAACCTGTATCTACTAAGTGATCTTATGTGTAAGGGCCTCTGCGAGGCAGTTCATTTTCGGTGAATCCTACAAGGCTGGTATGACTGTTCTCATTGTGCATCAAGCACAGATGTTAAGTAACCTGTCCGTGGGCACAGTCACTGAGCTGGAAATGAGGTGCTGAAGCCACGCTGACTGTAGTTTCAAAAGTACACTAATAAGGCAAAGCTAACAAAAGACCTGTTTATATGAATAATAGGACCGCATTTTTTGAGTGCTTCAGATATTGATAAAAAGTGCCATCTTTGTAAAAAATTGTAAACTAACATACCACTACGTCTTTGTCATCTACTTGCCCCATAAATCTAGGGTCTTGTGTTACAATGCAGTTCCCCAAATACACAGAACTTCTGCCATCAGTAATCTTGTTTATAATCAGGAAAAACTTTTTTTTTTTTAAATTCCACTGGGGGGTTCAAGCTGAAAGTGCACTAAAACTCAGATGGACAGTTAAGAACTTGTCCTGGAGTCATTTAGTCAAGTATTTCCTTAGCACCCATTACGTGTCCTCAACATGGGAGATACAAGAATGTCTATACATACAGGGAGCTTCTGTTTTCATGAAGGGAAACAAACACAAGCTTTAGATACAGATTATGATCTCCATGAAGGAGATAAAAATACAGCATGCTCTGGCTAGAGTGGTCAGGGGAAAATCTTCAGAAGGAGCAACATTTCCATCAAGACTTTAGGTTTAAAAAAGGCAGCCATGAAAACTTCTGGGACATGCCGAGCACACGCAACAGCAGATGCCTCACATGGGCATGATCTTGATGAGCATGAGGCAGGAAAAAAGGCAATGTGGCTATGGTAAATGAGAAGGGAAAGTGAAGAGTCAAAAAGATAAGCAATGTTTTTGGGCGACAGAGGTGTCCTCTAAAAATCTATCTGGATATAAAGTTTCCATCTGAAAGTCAAACTCAGAGCTTACGTTAAGAGATTATCTGTATATATGTCTATATTCAGTTTCGGGAATAGCCAGTCTTTTAAGGCTGACTTGGATCTGATCACAGGGAGGTAGGACTGGAAAGTAATTAGGATTTAGCAAACTGAAACGTAATTCTTTTTTTTTTTTTTTTTAAAGATTTTATTTATTTATTTGAGACAGAGAGAATGAGAGACAGAGAGCACGAGAGGGAAGAGGGCAGAGGGAGAAGCAGACCCCCTGCTGAGCAGGGAGCCCGATGCGGGACTCGATCCCGGGACTCCAGGATCATGACCTGAGCCGAAGGCAGCCGCTTAACCGACTGAGCCACCCAGGCACCCTGAAACGTAATTCTACTGTCTGCAAATGACCAATTGGGAGAAGAATAGTCAGTGCAGTCCATGTCAACAGAACTTAAAAGGGTAGGAAGTGGTTAGAGTCTATCTGACTTTGACCAGGCTAGAGATGTGTCCAATCTAGCTGATATGGCCCAGTCACTGAAAAGTGCTGTCCTGTAGCACCGGGATAAGGTACCAGCTTCCCACAAATGGATCAACAAGCCACCCCTTGTCTGCTCTTATTCTACATTTACCAAGCAATCTACACATTCAGTTTCCCAGTAACCCAAAAACTGAGAATGAATACCCCGGTGAGGAGACAGGACTATACACTGGTCACTGCAAAGGAAAATCTCCTACATAAAAATTAATATACTGATGTGTGGTTTACACATCATCTACCATTGGTTTGCATGTGGATCAGCTGCCCTGGGGCAATTATAAAACAGGTTTTAGTATTCATAAAGCTAATGATTACTAGGCCCTGGACCATGAAGGATCTACTGAATTTTTTTTTTTTTTTTTTTTTTTAGAGATTTGAAAGAGAAAGAGCGAGTGAGCAAGCAATTGGGAAAGCGCACGTGCACACACACAAGCAGGAGGGGTGGAGGAAGAGGGAGAGACTCTGAAGCAGACTCTGCACTGAGCACGGAGCCTGACACGGAGCTCAATCTCAAGACCCTGAGATCATGACCTGAGCTGAAACCAAGAGTCGGAGTACGCCCCCCAGGCGTCCCAGTAATGCCATCTTTTGAGAGGCTAGCTGTATTCAGTTAATAACTGTTTTTCCATTGATAAAACTTTAATACAATTTTACCATGCTTACTCGGATTTGATGAATGGATTTGTATTTTTCTGGAACTGACAATTCTCCAACAGACTTAATAATAGCTACTGCTTTGTTATCATCTGAGGGATCAGAACTGGTGCTATAGGATCCATTTTCATCGCTGTCCGGCATCTCTTCCTCCTCTTCACTGTAACTTTCATCAGAATTCTCATTTAAAGGAGATTCTGAACTTTCTTCTTTTTTAGGTTCATCTAATTGAAAAAGTTCTGAAAGCATGTAATTGGCTGAAGCAATAATCTTATAAAAAAAAAAGAAATACATGTGATTGTCATCAAAACTGAGCATTCTAAAGTGGAATAAATTTTACTACTGTACTAACAAATTTTAGGAGGTCTGCAAACAGGCTGTTTCCACACTGTAATACACACAGAACTGTTCTCAAGTCAAGGTTATCAGTACTGTGAAGGTTCTCCATAAAATCTTCATGGGTTATGTTTATTTCCTGCCATTATTCCATCCCCAGCCCCCTGTTCTTAAAAAACGGTGGCAACTGGAAATAAAAGTTTTCACAGGGAGTGTCATAACTAAAATATTAGCAAGACAACACTCCATATTAACTGAGAAACCAGAATTTCTCTTTACAAGCTATTAATTAATAAGGGTTTGATAAGCAACTGATATCTATTACATGATCTTTGGTTCCGGGGGGGGAACCCCCACTAGCTTAATGAAGGAAAAGTCCATCCTGGCATCTCTTAAAATTAGCATTTATATATTATTTATTCTACTCTATTATCTGTTGTTACTTTTGATCACGGACATTCAATAGTTTCAACACCCTTTCCTAACTTTCACATAAACTATTCAATTTCCACTAAATACCACCACCTCAATCGGCAATTAGATATTGAAGTCAGAAATTATTTTGCCATTTTTCTTCAAAAAGCGTTTTCTCTTGGTATGGTCTCTAGAACAAACTTTTATATCCAACTAGATGTGGCTGCAATTACAATTAACTTGGATCTTTAAAAAAACATTGCATATGCTCCATGCCTTTCCTTTTTTTTTTTTTTTTAAAGATTTTATTTATTTATTTGACAGAGAGAGACACAGCGAGAGAGGGAACACAAGCAGGGGGAGTGGGAGAGGGAGAAGCAGGCTTCCCGTGGAGCAGGGAGCCGGATGCGGGGCTCGATCCCAGGACCCTGGGATCATGGCCTGAGCTGAAGGCAGACGCTTAAGGACTGAGCCACCCAGGCGTCCCGCTCCATGCCTTTCCTAATTTAAATGGAATACAACTAGCATTACATCAAAAAGGAGTTGTCAGATTCAGACAACTGAGGGTAAGGGTGGTATAAAATTGTGGGGCACATGACTAAAAGATTATTTTAAGAGATGCTTTATATACTGAAGAAGCACAGAGTGTGAACCTTATTTATACAACAAAGTGTTAACAAGGCCTGTTTGTGTAAATGGATCTTTTAAAAAATACTGTAAAATAGTTTTCCACCTTCTAGAAGTGCTAAGACAAAGGAAAACAACAGCACCACTGTTAAAATGACGAGTTCTAGAATTATAGAACAGTGTTATCCAACAGAAATGTAATGTCAGCCAGCCACGTATGAAATTTTAAATTTCTTGTGGCTAAATTATGAAAGGTAAAATCTGGTGAAATTCATTTTAATATATTAGTTCAATAACACAAAATATCATTTCAACATGCAATATCTACACCCAACCTTCAAAATTCAATGTGTACTTTACACTTAAAGCACACCTCAATTCAAATTAAGCACACTGTAAGCACCCAACAGCCACAAGCGGTTACTGGCTACCATAATGGGCAGGGCGGTTCAGACTATGAATTAAGAGGCTTTAAAGTCTAGTTAACAATCTTTCAGAATGCTAGAATATTTTTAAAGAGCATATAAATGTTAATCTTACTTGAGGATGTCTGCTTTTGTCCAACAATTTAACACAATTAAGAAGCAATGTTCTAATAGTCCCGTAGTGTTTCTTATTTTGATTCTTCTTCATCATCATGTTGCAAGCAACCCTAAAAAAATGTTTGTATCAACTTTACACCCCATTCCTCTTTCTCTGCAAGACTCAAGTACAAGCATGCCCTTCTCACCTTCCAATAGAATGAGGGATGTAAGAAACAATACTGTATTTTAAAATATGGTATTTACTTCCCCCCCAGGTTGACTCTGGTACAGCCTGTAAACATATGTACATACTTTGTTTCTTAAGCTACAAAAACCTAAAAGGTATTTAAAAGCTTTGACCCAGACAGTGTGGCTGTGCACTTTAAAATTTTAAATAAGGCTACTTCTTCAAGCACTCACTTATATAAGAGAATAGCCACCGGCATTGTGAACGGATTTTGGTACTTGTCTTCAGTTTCTTCACAAAGAGTAGTGAGATCGTAAAGCTTCACTATATCACTGCCACTTGCTGAAAAGAAAAACAAACCTTAGTGTACCAGGGTCACTCAAATCAATTATTGTTGTTCATTCAGGAAGGAATTTACCTTTAAACAGCCAATAGGTATGTCCTTCTTTCGTACAGTTAGATTTTAGAAATGATAAAATATTCTGTGCTATGTCTTTTATGACTTTCGTAGAGAAGTTTGAGTTTTCCAGATTGGGAATCTCTTCGGTTTTTATCATTTCATATTTCTGTAAAACATAGAACGCAGTTTCAGAGAAAACTTCTCTTATTAAAAAGGAACCAAGTATATAAATCCTGCCATCAGAGATCCATGCAGCCCCGAAGAGCTGAACCCACTGGTTTTCGATCTTTTTATTGCTCCAACATTCCAAAGGAACCCGACCCACCTGTCAGCAATGCCGTCGGCTTACCACAGGAACGAGTCTCAAGACAGAATCACCACCAATTCAGAGCCACAAATTTAGGCACGCTCCTGCTTCTGTTCTCACAGGAACGGCTTGCAGCATATACTACCTTCCGTTCTACCCGGTGGTTTTCACCTGGGAGGACGGTAGATGAAGGCAGACTTCACCCAGCCTTTTTCCCCCAGACAGCAGACTCCCTCGGCAAGTCCCTCCAGCAGACACTACTCTTCCCCTGAGCTACGGACACGACTCCTTTACAGAAGCAGAGACGGGGACTGGAGGCAGCAGCAAGAGCAGAGGCCACATGGACACCACTGCCACGACCTCTAAAGTACCTCCAAATTTCTTTCTAGTTTGTCTTCTGTTCACACTTCCTTAAATGTCTCCGACCACATTTTCTGAAAACTCTAAGACAAGAAACTCCAAATCGATTGGAAAATAAGACCAAATAGTCTCCTAAGGTTGGTTTTCCTCCTTCTCGGTTCATCTAAAGCCCCACATCATAATTCCTTCCTTAAAATCCTGGATTTTCTACTGCACTCTTCAGGCCCCCCTCCCCTTTCACCCACATGGGGAAAGGCTCCAACGTTTGAGTTGAATAGATTCCCGTGATGATGACATCCAACAGTATCCAGGGAGATGGACCTCAGGTTATTTCTTAGCCCCATCTTCTCCAAGGCCTGTAACTTCAAACTGCTCATGGACATTTCAATGCTTTCCTCAAATGGAACACATGATGAAGACTGATCACCTTCCCTGCCTAAACCAGTTCAATGTCCCCACATCTCTGGCAATGACTTCACCGCGACTCTAGAGCCTAAGCCCTGGAATGCCCTGTAACCACCCCCTCCGGCCACAGCCTCTCATTAAATGCTGCTGTTTAGGGTAATGGTACAAAGTGTTTCCCAACCAAGAGTGCGAATCAGAATCATCTACAAAGCTTTCTTTTTTTTCTTTCTTTGACAGATACATAGATCCCACCTATCCTGAGACACTAGGAAGCCAAGCAAACTGTCTTTTTAGAGACCACGAGTGATTCTGATAAACACTGAAGGTTTAGAATCACTGCGCTGGAGGGGCACCTGGGTGGCTCAGTCAGTTAAGCGTCTGCCTTTGGCTCGGGTCACGATCCCGGGGTCCTGGGATCAAGCCCTGCATCGGGCTCCCTGCTCGGTGGGAAGCCTGCTTCTCCCTCTCCCGCTCCCCCTGCTTGTGTTCCTTCTCTTGCTGTGTCCCTCTCCATCAAACAAACAAACAAACAAATAAATAAATAAAAGAATCACTGGGCTGGAATACAATGGTTGGAAGCATGGCCTCAGCGAGATACAGGTTCAAATACTGGCACCACCACTTACTAGCAATGGGGCCCTGGGCGACTCACTTGAGCTCCCTGATCCTCAAGTTTCCCTCTTCATCAAAAGGGAATACTGGTATTCCAGCAGCTAAGAAGATCAAGTAAGTAATGCATATAAAGCACTTAGCAAAGTATCTGGAATAAAACAAGCACTCAATAAACGCTAGCTCCTTCTTATCACTGTCAATTCTTAGTATTTTCTCTACAGTCTAAGTCCATCAAGTTACTTGCAAAAGTAACTCCCTCCCCAGGCTTCTTGTCTCCGAGCCCCCCGTGCCTATCCTACAAACCATCTCCAAACTAAGACTCCAACACAACGAATTTCACCTCCCAGATGCAAAGCCTTCGCAGATTCCAGGTTACCAATCGAACTAAGCCCACACTCGGTATCCTAGATTCTCCATTATTTCACTTCGGCTTTTCTAATCTATTTGCTATTTTGTTACATGAATCTTGTGTCCCTAGATGCATTTGTTATCAATCCCTTCATTTACTTAACACTAGTCTTCTAACATTCATCTCTTGTTTTTGGAGAGGCTATCATTCACGATTCAGCAGAGAGACCACTTCTTCCAGAAGCCTCTTTCAGATCAAAACAGAAGTGATCTCACCTTCCCTGACCACCCAGACCTACATGGGTGTCCTGCCCTTCTAACAGATGGTCTCCTATCTTTCTCTTTGCACCTGTTATTTCCCTTTAGTATTTTACCTTCCTCGGTAGTGACCAAACTTTATTCTTTGTTTTCCCTCAATACTTATAATGAGGATAAAGTACCTCACAAAAAGAACAAGCTCAATAACAATATGCTATATAAACTATTGACTTCACACGTTATTGTTGTAACCTTCCCCTAAGACTCTGCATATACCCTGTAGATATTTGTATACTAAATGGATACCTCCACTGTATAGACACTTTTAGGTAATTAATTACTATGAATCTCTAGCATTAAAATCAGAGTTCTATGGCTACAAATGTAGGTTGCAGTATATTTATGAACTTCCCACAAATGACCTGTACAATTATACTCCTGTAACATCTAGAATTCTGATATTACCCAATCAAATGTGAAAACACTCAAACTTCAGTTTATTCACAACAATCTTCCTTGTTAAAAAGACAGCCTAGAATTTTAAGGGCCTCAAAAACTTTGGTGAGGCACTCTGCACTGATTTTCATTTGGGAGAAAATTAGAGAAGTCACACTGTACCTTACTTACCTGCACAATTCCATTTACGTGAAAACACATCACAAGTTCCGGCACGTTGCATATCAAGTTGTCCAACCAATAGTCAATTCCAGTTAGCACATTAATTGGTTTGTTGTTGTCCCTAAAAATACACATTTCTAGTGTTATGGAGTTTAAGATGTTCCATAATAAACCATCTGAGACTTATTTCCACCATTTAATCATTTTAATCTATTCTCCCCTAGGTGAAAAATGCTGTATGAACTTTATTTCCTGATGAAATATGCACATGTAGCTCACGTGGTGTGTTCTTACCATCTTTCCGTAAGTTCTGCTTGCGTTCCTAACTGGAATCCATACAAGTTTCCAGTAAGAGTAGAAGGAAATAGGATAGCAGATTACTGTGAGCCTACTGCATGCTCCTCATACAACCTGAGGTGAAAGACTGACCACCACGTATAATAATGCCCACGCTGTAGCTCACACTGGCTGATAGGAACACATACAGCTGGAGCACTAACAGAAGTGCTCACAATTAGTTAACAAGAAGCTGGTAAACCATCTCCTTAACTAATTAAATTCTATTATATTCACACTCGTTGTGAATTCAGACATAAGATTAAGCCGGTACAACAGATCTCTGACTCCATTCGTTAAGGACCTGAATGCAAAGCCAGCCCCAGGGCTTTCAGCATTTGCTGATAATAGCCCCGTCCTTACTGTGCTGTATCAAGGGGGGGGGGGGGGGGAGGAGGAGGGAGGTGAAAAACCCAGATAAAGGTGATGATTAACAGATTAAGTGAAAGCAGATAAAACACTGACTCTAAAGAAATACCATTTTGGTTTACCTGAGACGTAGGCTGACTGCGGGATATCTGCCTCCTCCAAATATAGGCATGTTGGAGCCAACTAACATATGTATATCTTCAAATGTCCATAAGATATTCCGAACAAAATCATTTTTAAGACCCTTTGATTAAAAATAAAATAGGAGAGGTTATTATGTAATGCACAGGAGATACATAATTTCCCCCCATGATTCACAGAAATTCTAGAAAAAGGAAAGACAAAGAGACAAAGTAAAGTCAAAGAGCTATAAGATCACAGAGATGTTTAGAAAGTGATTTTCAGTATCAAATGGACTTTTTTCCCTACAAATTCCAATTCAGACTAGCTTTTAAATGACAAAGTAGACTGGGGATCAGGTGTCCCAATCTGGACACCACGGAAAGCATACCTGACTGTTCTCCCCGTCATTGAATAAAGTAGTCAGGTTTTGTTCTTTGGGTGCTGAGGCCACATGCCCCACTATGTATGAGGGTTCAAGAGGCTCACTTCCCTGTGAAAAGTGCAAGGATAAGGAGTGACTCTGCTGCCGTAATTTCTCACAAATGGCCTACTTTTCAAGAGTATCCCCTAAACATTCAAAGTATAAACCTCAAATCTACTTTTGTGAATTTAGGACTAATGTGCAAATCATGAACTCTCATTAATGTGTGGCTTACTTCAGCTCTTAATTATCACAGTTATTCTAATAAGCTAATCACATTTAGATCATACTCAAAAAAGATTAAAGATTATTTTAAGCTTTCAAAGTTTTCATTTTTTTCCTTTTTGGATAAATCTGAATACCACTGCTATTTCAGCCCACCCCGTCTCTGCTGAATTAAAAAAATTTCTAAGAAACCTCAGCCGGATTCTTTTTATTTTTCCTTTATCTTTAAAAAGATTTTGAAGTAATCTCTACATGCAACATGGGGCTCAAACTTTCAAACCCAAGATCAAGAGTCCTACACTCTACTGAGCCAGCCAGCACCCCTCAGCCATATTATTCTTGAGACATCGGTCATCAGAGCAGCCCCGACGTTTGCCATTGTCTGACATGTGCTTCACAGAACACTAGTCCCTGAGGTACTCAGTGAAGAACGTCCAGGGTAAGCTTTGAAACCCACTGCTCACCACAGATTTGCTTTTGGACAGTAACAATGCTTATTACATTAAAAAAAGCCTCTAAAAGGTTCTGTAGTAGAAAAATCAACTTCCCCTCTGTAAAAATCCAATGTTCTCAAACTTATTTAATCTTGGAACACGTTTTATTCTTAATACATTCTGTGAAATATATTCTAGAAAACACTTGAGGAAGGGGAACATTTGATAATGGGTAAACTCAATCTACCACTCAAATTTCCAACCATTAGGGACAGTTGTCTTAAGAAACATTACTTTAAACCTTTAATCCCAAGATCGGTATGTGTATGTGCATGTGCACAGCTTATTCCATAAATTTCTTACTTCTCAACCTATGTGCATGCTAATAAGCTCAGCCCCTGCCTGTGAAGTGAGTACACTCGACTGCAAGTACGGTGGGGGTGGGGGACAATCTCCAGTGCTTTTGCTCTGCCTTGTACTCTTCTTAAAGAGTCCCACTAGAACTTCAAGCTTTTTTATTTTATTTGTTTGTACGGACAAGTCACCAACCTGTGGACCAAATCCCCAAACTGTATTTGCGAGGTAGCAGCTTTAGTGGGAGTCTGGGCTCTGGATTATAATGTTATCAATAAAAGTCTGGCTCCAAGGCCAACCACAGACACCTATTTAAACTCTAACACTGCTTAACACAGGCCTCCAACCAGCAAGGTTAGTTTTGGGAATAAGAATTCATGAGGAAGGGGTGCCTGGGTGGCTCAGTTGTTAAGCATCTGCCTTCGGCTTGGGTCATGATCCCAGGGTCCTGGGATTGAGCCCCACGTCGGGCTCCCTGCTCCGCGGGAAGCCTGCTTCTCCCTCTCCCACTCCCTCTGCTTGTGTTCCCTCTCTCGCGGTCTCTCTCTGTCAAAAAAATTAAATAAAATCTTCTAAAAAAAAAAAAAAGAATTCATGAGGTAATAGAGTGCACAACAATCTCTAAATTTGAAATTTAGGCAGTATAATGTTACATAAAATATTCTGTCAAAGATGATTTTTTTTTATGGCAGGCTAGCTCTGCTTAGGACCACGGCACTGCTATGACAATCCTACTGCGTACACGGCCCTTCTAAACTAACGTGTGGACCACACGGATGCAGCGGAGTACTGCTTGTCAGGACAGGTCTCTGAAGTCAGAAAGCTCAAGGTTTCAATCTTCAGATTTCACCAGCAGTGTGACCATGAGCAAACATCTACTCTTTATAAACTTTACTCACTTACAAAATGGTACCATCAACACTTAATACATGTACAGCTCCAAGGATGAAAAAAATGTATACGTACGCACATGCACATACACATACATGGCTTAAAGTACATAGCATAAGAGGCATTAAATAGGTGCCGGTTTACTTCCTCCAAATACAAGTCTACAGATTCCAGCCTCCCTGATTTTTCACAGCAAGCCCTAAACAAGGTAAGAACAAAATGATAAGGCTGGGAGACGAGCAGAGAGGTGGCAGGAGATTCTTATTTCTGTTATGTGGTCTTTTTGTAATGTGTGGGTTTTGAAGTCAAGGAATACTAAATGAATTTTTTAAAACTCCGTTAATGTAATATAATCACATATAGGAAAATGCATAAAAGAAATCATACAGTAAAATGACTAATTACAAAGCAAATTATCCATGTAATCATTACCCAGGTCATGACACTGGTCCGTGCTAGCACCCAGCACCCACGCCCCTTCTCATTCACACAACACCCCCCCTCCTGGAGGTTAGCACTATGTGAACCTGCAAATTACTTCTTTTTCTTTATAACTTTCCTAACTTTGGAAAAAATTTAAATTCATTACATAGCTTAATGAGCTTTCTCTATCTTAAAACGTATTAAAACTAAAATCAAGTTAAATGTATTTCCCTCCTGTAACCCTGTAGTTTGGGAGGATAGCAGCAATCTGGACAAATAATGTTCAATATGTGAGAACACATAGCAAGAGGAAAAACACAATTTACCAAAGATCTCATTTTTATCTTCTTCGACTTTGTCAATATGTTTTCCTAAAAACAGACATGCATAAATTTACATAGATGCAGTTACTTTACTCTTTGATAGACACAGTAAACTAAACAAGAAATAAGAAAAAAACCCAAGAATACAAGAGACAAAACAGACATACTACTTTCTCTTCCTTTCTAAAAGCTTTATAATATAAACTAAACAAGAAATAAGAAAAAAACCCAAGAATACAAGAGACAAAACAGACATACTACTTTCTCTTCCTTTCTAAAAGCTTTATAATATTAATGTGGGTTAAGTCTCAGGAACTTCACCCAGAAAATCTTAAGGGCAATTTTAGGCTTAACAATCTAAAAATTAAGGTAAGAAGGTCAGTATTAAATTACAAACAGGCCTGTGAGTCTCAATATTTGATAAGCATTTACTGCAAGTCTAAAGCTTAAAATATTCTATATCACTATATCACATAATATTCTTATGACTTCAAGGAGATAATCGGTATTGATAAACATACTGATAAGCTATTTTAAAAGCTAATAAAAATCTTTAAATATTTCGAATTAATTTTAAAAATCTAATCTAGCTATTCATAGTTTTTATAAATTCTATTTTGAAAAATTTTTTAAAGTAATTTTTCCAATTAATTATAAGACATAATTAGAGTATTTTTGACTCCTGTTCTATTTTTATTAACAAGATCATTGGTTTTGTCTTCTTAAATGAGTTTACTGAATTAACATCTAAGTACTAACTAACCTGACTGGAAGCACTGGGATCTTCAGAAACTGAAGAAGGCATTTCAAAGGGGGCGGGCCACGAAGCCCCGTCTGAATCATTTGTCTGATCTGAACTGGAGGATTCCTGCTGTTCTGCAGCAGATGGGACGGGCTGAGCGGCTCCATCGCCATTGATACTGGCCAAATCAGAAATAAAAATATCACACTGTTACTAAAGTTAACTTTATGTGATAGTCTACCGGTTTTTAAAAGCTAAATTCCATAATCAACCATAAATCTTATTTAAAACAGAATAGGAGACACTGAAATGTCATCAATAGTTGCAAAACTTAAATTACTTTTATTAGCTTAAAATTAAATTTCAGAACAGAATTTCATTTTCCTTAAGATAAAAAATAATCAAGTAGCCAAGTACCTATAATATAAAAACTTGGAAAGAATAGCCTTCTGATACCAGTGCTCTTTGCTCTTTTTCTTCCTTTGCCACTTCTGATCAATGAGTCTTTGGTAAAATTCTTTCAGCCATGTCCAATCACCAGTCTGAGTAACAAAAGAAAATTATAAATACAACAAACCTGTAATCAAAACAATTTGTTACCCACTCCTCTTTTACAGAAAATATAAATACTATTTAATAAACACATACTCAAATACTATCTTTCTAGACTCAGTCCTATCACCTCTTTTGGGAAATCTGTCTTCCTTTTCTCCCTGAGCCAGGCTAAGGGAAGTGGTTTTTCTTTCTACCACATTCCTTAGTACCTGGAGTAAGTCCCAATACGCCTACCATATTGAAATTATCTGGGTATGTATATACCAGATATATAATGCCAAAACTGTAAGCTGCCAGCAAAGGACTGTGATTTACTGTCACATCCCAAGAGCTTGACCAGTGGCAAGCATAATATACACTAAACTGCCAACAGTCCCCAGTCCAAGTACAGAAATGGAGAGTAAGCCTTGAGAAACTGAAACGTTACTGTTACACTTTTCAAAAAGTATCCACCAATGTCACATGGGAGGGTGGGAAAGTCATTTACCAAAACAGTTTGAGAAGCTCTGCTTTAAGTGAACCAATTAATTCTAATAACTATGTATTCATAGGAATAATTTCTAACATTTTTCACATTTCCTGGCAGTTATGTTTCATGAGAATCTCTTTAATGGAAACATCAAAGGACTTTTCAAAAATTTTAACTATCCCCTTAGATTTCTGATTTTTCACAACTTTCTTCATTGGTTTCATCCTTTTCTTTGCAAGAATCCTGGCTGTTGGTTATAAGTAAGTTTCTTCCCCGTTCACTCTGTTTTCTATTTTTTTGTTATTAAAACTTCTTTATATTCCACAAAACGTCTCATTTCTCAGTTGCCGAACTGCATTTCCCCTTCAGCCTTTCTTTGAAACAATATTGCTAGTGCCCTTAGGTTGTTAAAAGAGTGCTTTAATGGTTGTTTTTCCACAAAAAGTATCACCTGAGATGATCTCATGAAGAGTTCCTGAATATCTAACTCATCGAGTAAGAGAGTCCTTCCTATGCGGTGTACAGCCATGCTTACGTGGGACTTGCTGTAGGGAATCTTCAGGAGCTTTTTTATGTTCTTTAAAAAATTAAGAGGAAAAATAGTTAAAAAAGACCGTTTTAGTGTGACTTGAACTCTTTCAAATTTTAACTTCATTCAATTTTAAAGCATAATAAACTTTATTTTCCTAAGGTAACTGTACTGTACACAAATAGCTAAATACAAACACGTGAAGATAAAACTTTAAAACCAGGATCACCTACACTTTAGCTGTCATCCTATGTTAATGTAAATGGTGGACAAAGATTTATTTTTACACAATGGAATTTCCTAAAGTTAAGTGCGTACAGGTCACTTTTGCACAGACCTAGGCTTTTAGCATATCAGATAAAACTGACCAACTAAGGAGCAATAGATTTTGCCATAAGTATCATTTCTAATTCTCAACTGGTAACATTATATAAGTCATCCCACACATTTTAATGACTTATAATAATTGCTGTTATTAAAACACAGCCATCAATATTAATTATTTACCACTGCCAGTGTTTTGGGTGTCGCTCCTTCCTTTTTGAAAGGAGATGCGGCAGAGTGTTACTTTACTAACAGAAAGGGTATTCGATAATCAGACAGTTGTATCTTATTTCATCAGCAATTTTTCCAGACTACAGAATAGAGCATGTTATAAATCCCTGACAAACACCCCAATTACATTCACCAATAAGGACACTTACTTCAGAGTCAGAGACAACGTCTACATCATTTCCCACAGAATCAATAAAGTCGTACGCCATACCAAAGCTAATGAAGGGAACAAAGGCCACAAAGGTCATGCTCATAATGATACAAGTAGAGTTTATAAGAGAATACACTATCCCATCACTTCCAGGATACCCATCTTCCATATTCTTACATCTCTGCAATCAATATGCCTATCACCATTAGAATTAAATAGTTTTTCCTTCTTTGTGGTACAAAGACTTAAATCAATCACATCTTAAATTGGGTAAAATACAGTAATAATCATTAGAAGCAATTAATAGCAATTACTTTCTTTTTATAATTACAAATCCCCCAAAAAATCTCCAAGAGAAAGCAGTTCAAGATAGTATACTTTTTAGGTAAAGAGATAAGTGTTTCTGCTTGTATTTTTCTTATCAGGATTTTAGTCTCTAGGACTGTGTTGCTAGTGATACACAATACTACTTTTTCGGGGGGGAAAAAAAAAGAACATGACCCCAATTCAGCCCAAAGGAGAAAAGAAAAAAAATGTTGTGTCAGGTGCCACGTGAGGCAGTCTACAATCTCTAAGCCTGAAAAGCAGCTGATGTCACCATTTTTCAGTTAGTAAGTGGCAGAGGATCAGAACACTTACCTAGGACTGCCTCACTTCAAAGGATGCTCTGATGATTTACCATGCAGGCTAGGCAAGTTACTTACGCTTTCTAAGCCTCAGTCTTCCCATGTGAAAATTAGTTAACAGAACCTAACTCAAAGGGTTGTTGTGAGAATTCAATGAGCTAAACATATAAAGTACTTAGCACATGTTTGCACATAGTCAATATAACTAAAATTTAAATCACTTCATAATATTTGTGTTGACATATAATTAAGCCATTCTTCTAAAAGAGAATATCTGGACTATTTCCAACTTTCTGCTAGTATAAATAATGCTACAAACAACGTTTTGCAAATACAACTTTTACCTTCGGAGGCATTAGGATAATTTCTAAACTACTAAATCATTAGGTTTTAACGTATTTATGGCTCTCGTTGGTTATGTGGACATATTTTAGGTTCAGTCACAGAGAGGGAAAGAAAGAGTATCCTACACATTAAGTAGTCTACAAGAATATGAATGTTATGGGGCGCCTGGGTGGCTCAGTCGTTAAGCGTCTGCCTTCGGCTCAGGTCATTTTCCCAGGGTCCTGGGATCGAGTCCCACATTGGGCTCCCTGCCCGGCAGGGAGTCTCCTTCTCCCTCTCCCACTCCCCCGCTTGTGTTCCTGCTCTCGCTATCTCTCTCTCTGTCAAATAAATAAAATCTTAAAAAAAAAAAAAAAAGAATATGAATGTTAGCATATGTTTCTCTGTACGAACCCAGACCACTCTCTCACACTTAAATACCACCAGCAGAATTTCCAGCAACTGTCTCAGCAAGTATCAGTCAAGGGTGTAGGTCACCCAACATGGTGGGTTTCTACATCAGGCTTTTTCAGATGAAACCATCCACCACCATTTAATGAAAACCTCTACAGGGCAGATTAGGTAGTGTTAAGGGTTCTCCTCCTCATGTGCCACCCTGATTCTTTGTATTCACATACTCAAAAGGTATGTAGATTGGCTAAAAATAAAACAGCTGACTGAATTTAAGTGGTCAAACTCAGCTTTGTTAATAACATGATGCAGACCTGAAAGAAGTATACGCAACTGATGTCTTCATATTAGAATCCTACTCGGAAAGGACTTTGAAAGTCAAATACAACCTTTCTCTAAAGAGAAATCTCACCAAGATGATAAGCATTACCAATTGAACCAAAAAAGCAAACATTAGAGTCTGGGGGCTTGCGGGGGGGGGGGGGGGAGTGTTGAGAGACAAGTAAAAATGCCACTGATTAATATTTACCTTGAAAATGGCTTGCTTCTCTTACTGTTGCCAAGAATGGTAGTTCCTGCTGGCCCTAGTTTGGCACTCTCTCGTAACCAGTTGGCAGGTGGGAGTTTCAAGTCTGTTTTCTCTTCAAGGCGTGCAAATGCTGTTCTAGGAGGGGCAGAAGAGTATTTCACCACAGCTCGGCTCTTCACTTCATTGCCTCCAAGAAATAAAGCTGATCCCTAATTAACACATTGAACAAAACTTTTAATAACACTACTAGGAATTAAAAATCCCACCTTTATAAAAAGAAAAAAAAACCCACCACATCAGACTTCACAAGAATATATGCTACACTATTCTAATAGCAATAAATGCCACCACACACTGCCGCATTTACTTAGCTCTTTTTCACATAATTTCAAAGAAAAACATGAGTCAAGAAGTACAATGTTTATGATTATCAGCTAAGACAGTGGACAAGCAAAAGCCAAGGACAGTCAACAGAATCACATTAACAAAATGCAAAATCTGATAAAACCTCTGCTTGTTATTAAAGATGTATTCTTTTAATTTCAGTAACGTATCATTTAGAAAGTCGTTCGTGGTAGGATATCTGGGACGTTTTTGTTTTTTTAGGTAAACTCTACGCCCAACGTGGGGCTTGAACTCACCACCAAGAGATCAAGAATCCTTCGTTCCACTAACTCAGCCAGCCAGGCGCCCCTGGGGCTTGTTTTCAAGCAAACGTTTAGTAATTGATTCGTCGGTTCATTACACGCCCTGAACCTTCACTTTCACAGGAAGGCACTGGGGGTTCCCCACACTCTTCACTTGCACTCCCCCAAGGAAGCTCAGTGTCCGAGTTCACTATCCTAACCTTTCACGCAGTCCATCTTCGGCCCGGGAAACACTATGAACCCTTCAAGGATTACCTCGATCCCAACTCGGTGAGCTCCCCGCTGACACCCGCTCTTTTCCCTCCAGGTTTGCACGACTGTGCCACATTTTGTCACCACATATTCACATGTACGCTCCTCGACAGCCCAGATCGTGCCTAACTCGCCCGTCGGTTATAACCGAGGGGGGAGCCAGAACTGCTTTTGATAACGAGTGACTTGGATGCAAATATCCGAATGCCTGACCACAGACACACAGGCTTCCACTCCGTTTGGGGGACTGTCCGGGAGACGCAGAGAAGGCATCAGCAGCCTCCGGGAACCGTAACATGCCTCCCCCGCGGAGCGGGCCCGCAGCCCCCGGAGCCCTGCAGGTCCCGCCCCAGGACGGACTCACCTGTGCAGAAGGTTCCTCGGATTCTCCCTGAGACAGGAGGCTAAGCCCTCCTCGAGCGGCGGCCCCGGCCGGCGGAGACTCCGCTCCAGCCTCCTTGGAGTCCCCCATCACCTCCGCCCAGGGTAGGCGAGGCGGAACGGGACCCGAGGAGCCGCGACAGAAACCGGGCCCACCGGCTCGGAGGCACAGCAAAGCAAGCTCCAGAGACGCCCCGTACACTGCGCTTCCGGTCTCTGACCGGAAGGCGTCGCGGCGACGCGCTCAAATCTCGCGATCTTTGTGCCAGAGGCCCGGCCCCGTCTTCCCCGGTGGAAGCCACCTTCGCGGCGGAGGCAGGCGGTGTAGTGCGCCTGCGCATGTCGGAGCCTCTTCAGGGGACCACGTCTCGCGGTAGCTGATTCCCAGGCTCCACCCTTTGCACGCCTCTGGCCTTTGTTGGCAAACAGTTCTGGCGACTAGGGCTCGGGGGTGTCAGTTTCGGCGAGGTCGTCGCAGCGCGGGCGGGGAGGTGCTGCAGTCCGTGTAACCAGCGGGTCCAGTGAGATAAAGTAGCGAGGTCCTAGTGCTCCTGCCTCCCCCACCGGCTTACAGACGGGCTCACAGCCCCAGGAAGGCAGAGATCAGGTGCCCAGGTGAGGGGCAGTGCAGACTGGAGCGCGCCCGGGCTCGGCGTCCTGCCCCCGCATCACAATGCGAGGTTGGGCCCGCGGCCCGGAGTGTTGGAACCGCGGGCCCCCGCCTTTACTAAAGGACGCATTTCAACGGCGGTCTCACCTCCACAGGGTTTTGCAAGGTGCAGGGTTTGTTTAGTGCCTCGGGAAGCATCTGCGGAAAGCCTGCTACTTGTCAGGTCCTAGGGAGCTAGCAAAGGGCTTTCTGGGTGGTCCTGGGGCTTCTCCAGCGTTAGTGTGCAGAGGAAACACCTGGAGATCTAGTTGACATGCAGATTCTGATTCAATAGGCCTGGGATTCTGCATTTCTAACAGACTTCCAGGAGCTGATGCCAGTGCTTTGAGTTGTAAGGAAGTAGAGAAACAGCCAGGGCCGTGTGAAGGCTTGGGAGATGCTAGGCTCGCTTCTGCTCAGACTCCGCATCTACTGTCTTACCAAGCATAGTTAAATGCAGCCACATCCTTCATAAAAATTTGCTTTGTTTTGTGGTAAAACATTGGAAAGTTTTTGAAAAATTAACTTTGCCTTACAGTATTTGGCTATCTCAACTTGTAACTTACATCTGGCCCTGATAACTCACTATGTGCATATTCACACGTCCTTGTGACATCCTTGTGACTGAGGAAGCTCAATTTACAAATTGCTTTCAAATGTAACGAAACATTCTTATGAATAATATTTAACAATGAATTATACTTAATAGTACATTTTGTAGACACTTCAACGTATTGATTTTGCTTTTTATCGTTTTTTGTTTGTATTTTGTAGTCCTTTTTTTGCAAGGTAATACTGTAGTAAAAAAATTGAGCACAATTTAAATTAGCTTTAGGAAGATGTTTAAGTCTTTTTTGGTATGTAATACCATTAACTTGTGCAGCTATTAACTTCTTTTTCAGGAATGTTCAAGAACATTTCCATTGTACATATGATGTTAAATGATAAAATTTTAAAAAACAAATATGCATTATTTTCCTTTTTTTAAAGACTTTTATTTATTTTTTTAAAGATTTTTATTTATTTATTATTGAGAGAGAGAGAATGATAGAGAGCATGAGAGGGAGGAGGGTCAGAGGGAGAAGCAGGCGCCCCGCTGAGCAGGGAGCCGGATACGGGGACTCCAGGATCATGACCTGAGCCGAAGGCAGTCGCTTAACCAACTGAGCCACCCAGGCGCCCCATATTTTCCTAATTTTTAAAACGTATCTTTTCTTGCGTCTATGTCCATAAAAACGTCTCTGAGTGGTGAGATGAAGTGATTTAAAATTCTTAAAGTTTTTATTTTCCAATTTTTTTCTGATTGTGCATTATTTTATCATAAAACATAATTTTTATTAAACTTTTAAACATACATAGTTTAGCTTCCAATAATCTTTAAATTCTTTTGTTTTATTGTATAATTCTTTGTAAGAAGGGATTTTCTGAGGTATCAGTAATTCTTTTTTTCAGGACCTAAATATATTGCAGGCTTCTTGAGAAGTAGGTTCCTGAACCCTTGGTGATGTTAGTGGGAAAATGTGCTGGAAATGCCCTGTGAAAAGGCAGAGAGGGGGTGCCTGGGTGGCTCAGTCGGTTAAGCGTCGGACTCTTGATTTCAGATCAGGTCGTGATCTCAGGGTTGTGAGATCAGGTCCCATGTAGGGCTCCTCATTCAGCATGGAGTCTGCTTGAGATTCTCTCTCTCCCTCTGCCCCTCCCCCCCACTCACATTCTCCCTCTCTCTCTCTAATAAATATATATTTAAAAAAGAAGAAGAGGGGCACCTGGGTGGCTCAGTTGGTTAAGTGTCGACTCTTGATTTCAGCTCAGGTCATGACCTCAAGGTCCTGGAATGGAGCCCCACATCAGGCTCCCTGCTCAGTGGGGAGCCTGTTTCTCCCTCTCCCTCTGCCTGCCGCTCCCCCTGCTTGTGCTCTCTCTCTCTGTCAAATAAATAAAATCTTGAAAAAGAAAGAAGGAAAGAAAGAAAGAAGATAGAGAGGAATGAAACAGTCAAATTCAGCATAGAAAAAGAGGTCAGCGGCAGAAAGGGTGCTCGGAGCAGAGAGGGGCTTCAGGCTGGGGGTGGGGGGACCAGTGACTCCCGTCCCCTCAGGACCATTTGTGGCATGAAACCTGAAGGGAGACTGGGTTTCCTGAGGCCACTCCCAGGGCTAGAACCAGCAAGGTATAGGCAGCAATGGAGGGGGATTCCTGAGGGCAGGAGAAACAGCACATCTGAGTTACAGAAAGTTGATCCATTCTTCTAGCTAAGTGCTTGTTAATTGCTTTCTTTTCTCTGTTCAAACACTTTTAAGTGCTGTGTGTATGTGTGTGTGTGTGTGAGTGAGAGAGAGAGTGAGTTACCATTTTTTCTAATGTAAGTGATTGAAATTTAATGTTGTGGGTAACATGGATGATTACTTCCAGAATTTCACATTTTAAGAAGCTTATTTATTTCTTTTTGTATTGTATCAATGTCTGCCTTCTGCCTCCTTCCCTGTCCCCCAGCCAATCAGCACTCTCAGGTGTTTACCTGGCTCCCCAGCACTTGATGTTTTCACCACTTAGGAAATGTTGGTTGAATGAATGAACTGCTTACAGTTTTCTGCTTCAACAGGTTCCAGAAGTCTGTATTTGCTGGTGTTTTTCCTCTGCTTAGAATACCTTTCCCTTCCTCACCTAGCTTATTCCTCAAGACTCATCTCAGGTATTATCCCAAAGTCTCTCCTGACACCTCTCCCTCCTTACCCATTAGGGTACCTTTTCTTGTTCCCAAAGCTTATATGTAGCTTTATCCTACACTTGCCACTTTATAGAAAAATTACCTGTTTGTATTTGCCTCTCTTGCCACCTGTGAGCTCCTCAAGGGGTAGTGTCCCATCTGATCAACTGTTTTACCAACACCAGGCACAGCACCAGCCCATTGAACTGTTTCAGCCCTTAGGCAATGTAGGTAAAATAACTAGTATGACAGGCTTTTAAAATGCTTATCAAATGTTTGAGACATAAAAACAATGTTGTTGGCTCCAATTTTTTTTAATCTGCAAAATCAAAGCTAAAAATGTATAATGAAGTATCTCCAAACTATTGCTCAATCACTAATTATTAAAGTTAGTCTTCACACACAGCTTGTTCCATTTTGAAACAATTTGTAGGTTAGACTGTCTGTATTTACAAATCTCATCTCCCAGCACATGTTATGATTTCAGAGAGATCCCAGTCATAAATTTGCTTAATCACAGCACACAGTATTTTCCAAAGCAAAATTAGAAATCTTGTCATTAAATGTTTACAGTTCTGGGGCCACCTGGGTGGCTCAGTCAGTTAAGCATCTGCCTTTGGCTCGGGTCATGATCCCAGGGTCCTGGGATTGAGTTCCTGCATGGGACTCCCTGCTCCTCAGGGAGTCTGCTTCTCCCTCTGCCCCTCCCCCCACTCATTCTCTCCTTCTCTCTCCCTCTCTCAAATAAAGAAATAAAATCTTTAAAAAAAAAAAAAAGTTACAGTTCTATGCAAGGGAGACGTGCCTAGGACCCTGGGAGTTCTGCCCGCAGAGTAGAAAACATGCAGGGACCACTTAGAATAGGGCTTGTGCCTTGCAAGTTGCCACGGTCCCCCGCACGACCTAGTGTCTTACACCTACCCACCCTCAATTGTTTACTTTGCCTGTGGGACCTTGGAAGGCCCTGGGTTTCTGACTCCTTGTCCTGGACTTTTCGAGCTAGAAGAGAGATTCGAGATGATCTGAGCCAATCCCATCCCTCTGTATAGATTGAACAGTGCAGTCCAGAAAGGAGGATAGAACTGACTTGTTGAACATCATACAAAACGAGTTTAACAGCAAAGGCAGGATGAGCCTCAGACTCCCACGCAGCCTTATAGAAAGTTGAAATGCGGACGCAGGCCACTGGACCTTTAATTTGTCTCAGAATCACCCGAGAAACCTGTTAAGCCAGCAGATCCTCCAGCCATCTCCAGATTCAAAATCAGTAGGGTAGTGCCGAGAATCTGCATTTTTAGCAAGATTCCAGTATCTGACCACTGCGGCCAGTGACCACAGTTTAGAACAGTGATCTCTACAGAACTCTGCCAGCTCTCAGGAAGAACTGGAACTTTCTTCTTTTTAATCTGAAAAGTAAGGGCAAAATTAAGCCTTCCTAGTACTTAATATGCAGATTGACGCAGGCATCCTTCCTTGGGCCAGGCTCAGGTGGTGTATCAGTCAGGGAAGATTGGGGTTTACAGCCAAAACAAATGATCCCCAAATGTAGTGACTTACGACTAGGGTCCCCAGGTGAAATTCAGGATGCTAAGTTACATTTGAATTTCAGGTAAACTGTGAACAAATTCTTAAGAGTAAAAACGTCCCAAATATTTAGTGGAAGTGTATCCCAGGCAGAATTTGGGATATCCTTGCACTAGTCCACGTGATCTTTACTCTGTGAGGCAGAGCATTGCCTGTTAGAGTGGTGCAACCAAGACAGGTACAACCTGTAAACCAGTTCCCAAAGCTTCTGGTCAGGAGTGACAAACATTGCTGCCACTCACCTTTTTTTTGGCTAAAATGAGA